ATAATTTTGAATCTATTGAATTTATAATGCATTTTTGACTGTTCTGTCTCTGTGTCATATTTTAATAGCAATTTCTATATATGTCATAGTAGGACACAAGTATTTTTAATTATAGTTCTTTCACATTTCTATTTTAAGAGCAAAGAAACACTTTCAATAAACAATAACTTTTGAGAGGAATCAAAGGCAGATCATAACAAACAGAAAATCTTGTGTTCCTAATTTCAAATATCATTTATTAGCACTAAAACAACAAAACAGATAGCTGCAATAGCAATTTTATTCAGTAATAAAAATAAGAAAAGCAGAAAGTAGTAAAACCAGTGCAGTAGAACAATCTTCATCCCAATATCTTTAAAAAAATTATGGCTTTTGCCATCTCCTGCATGTCTATCACGGTAAAATCAAAAGTGAGCTCTCTTCAACATTAATTCCAAAGGGAGATAAAGCCATCGAAACCCCTAGATGTGATCCTAAGGCATATACCATAGGAAGAATTCAGAAAAATGACACATAAGAGGCAAAAGACCACTGAAATGCAGTTGGCAGGTAGAGAGCAGTGTTTTTCAAACTTGGGCATTTTAAATTGTATGGATTTCTAGAACTGGGGAATGCAAATTCATATATGCTGAAACACGTTAGTACAGGAGCCAAGATAATATCTGTACAGTAACATCTGTCACTTAAACATGGCTTGTGGCTACTATCACACATCCCTAGAAGAGCCTACCCAAAAGCAAGTCCCACCAAATCCAGTCAGATCTACTCTGAGAAAAGTGGGGATAAGATTAAAACCCCCGAGGAATGTCAACAGAGATGTGCCAGTCCTTAAAAACTTTAGAACTGAACAATACTACAGCCTAAATATACAAACCTATAAATGTATTTTTAAACATACTGGTAGAAAAATCAATGATTTTTTTGAAGTCATCTGTAAACATAGTAATCTCTTTTTTGTACAAATCCTTTGAAAAGAAAGATTCATTTTTGTTTCATTAAAAAAAATTGCTACAACTTTAGGAGCCTGCTACTACAGGCAGAGTGAATATGAAATATGAGCTGGGAGACAGGGGATGATACTGTTTAGCATAGAAAGCCACCCAAAGTCTAATGGAGTTGGGCAGCTTCTAAATCAAATGAATGAAGCAAGCAAGCAAGCAGGCAGACAGACCGTGTCTCTAAATCAGTGGTGGCGAACCTATGGCACGGGTGTCAGAGGCGGCACTCAGAGCCCTCTCTGTGGGCACGCGCACCGTCGCCCCAGTCCTAGGCCTTCAGCTGGGTTTTATAAAACCTTTTCGCTTTAGGCCTCCGCCGCCATGTGCAAAAAAAAAAAAAGGTTGAATCAATCAGTCAATTTCAACTTCTCGCGGGGAAAAAAAAGATCTTGCAAAGTTGGAATTGATTGATTGAACTTTTTAGTTCCACCCAGTCTGCTGTTACCACTGCAGCCATGCCCACCCAATGGGCCACACCCACCCAATGGGCCACACCCACCCAATGGGCCACACCCACCCGGCACCCGACGATGCATAAGTGGGTTTTGGGTTGCAGTTTGGGCACTCGGTCTCTAAAAGGTTCGCCATCACTGCTCTAAATTAAAGAAACACACAAAGCCCAGGAGAGACATGCTGGAATATACATCCCAACCAATGCAGGAGGAGAATGAAAAACAAATATGGCTGATTTCCTGAGGTTGCAGAGCAGCTTTTCTGCTAATGGTGGTGTTCCAGCAGTGGTTTGCAGCTGACAAAAACAAAACAGATGTGATGTACACCCTTCATGGAGAAGATTTCCTTATATATGAATACATGCATATGTGAATGAATATAGGTAGGCTTCAACTTACAAGCAAAATAGAGACCAAAACTTCCATTGCTAATCAAGGCAGTTGTTAAGTGAATCATGTGATTGTTAAGTGAATCTGGCTTTGCCCATTGACCGTGCTTATTGGAAGCTGACTGGGAAGGTTACAAATGGTGGTCACATGACCTTGGGACAGTTGCCAAATGCCCAAATTTTGATCACATGACCATGCAGATGTGTGCAACGGTTGTGAGTGTGACAAATGGTCATAAGTCACTTTTTTCAGTGCCATAACTTTGAATGGTCACTAAATGAATGGTTGTAAGTCCCCAACCTTTCCAGCTGGGCGAACTGGTTGAGGCAGCACTAGGGTGGGGGTGGGGAAATGGGATGGTTTCATGTGTGCACGTGTTCTGTTTGCACAAATGCAGCTTCGCGCATGCACTCTCCCACCACTTCCATGGCCCACTTCTGAACAGGCTGTGGCCCAGCCCTGGGCCACGGACCGTGGAGTGGGGACCCCTGTGTATATGTATTACACAGCATTTTTAGATAAATCCAATTCTGAAGGACTCTAGGGAGTGCAAAATAAAAATTTAAAATTGATATTCAGTAATAATACGAAAGAGAGTATGAGAGAGATGTCCCTTATTACCTCAGTCTGAGGACACTTTGAAAATAATATCTTATACTTGCTTACAAAAACTGTATGTATCTCTGCAGGGATGGGATTCCACAAAATAAGGACTTCTATTAAGATAACCTTTCATCTTGTCCAAGCTCCACAAATCTCAAGGAAGGGAGAATCACAACAGGCTCTTCCTAGGCAATCTTAGTAGACTGACAGATTCCATTCCATTAGTAGACAGACAAGGCAAGGCATTGTCTGATACATTTCAGTGTTGTGCAATGTAGACCTTTAAAAGTAACCACCAACACTCTTGACCTGGGCCCTAGGTAGACCTAGACGTGACTGTAAACCTGTTAGAAATCAGCAGGCTACTTCTATGTCAACTTATATTTTAAGCATAATTGTAACACTAATAAGAAATATATACTCAAACAATTTAATAATGGTTGGAACACAAGTCAATGCTTCTTGAGGATATTTGTGATGCCACCTGCCTCAAAAGAAATGGTAATATGTCCTCCCTTGATCCAGCCTTGCTGAAAATCTGTTACCATCTCCAACCACTCATATTTGTGAGGGTTCAACTACAGAGAGTCTTTATGAAGCGGATTATCTGCATCCATTTCAGTCTGGATTCAGACAGTCAGGGGTTAGATGATGTCTGCTGATTGTGTGGCTGCCTATCTTCTATTTAGATGTATTTTTGTATTAGTGTTGCTTGATGTTTTTATATTTATAAAATATATTTTATATTTTGATATTTTATAGCCACCCAGAGTCACTTTTCAGGGTGAGATGAACAACTTATATATTAAAAATATAAATATAAATATAAATAAATATTTTATATTTTGCATAAACAGGAGTCATACCTAACTAAGTACATTTACTTATTTTTAAATCAGAAAATTATCAAAAATTTTGACTTTTGTTTTAAATATAATAAAATCCTCAAGGTGCTTCTACATTTTAACTTCCTTCTACCCCTCAATGTCCTCTTCTGCTTTTCTCACCAACATTAAAACATGAAGTTTCAGAGATGATCAAGTGTTATTGTTGGCAGGCTCCAGTTGTGGTATGCTGTTTTCTGACTTACTATACAGTAAATTAACTAAACCATAACTCAAATTAAACCTTTACTGTTGTAACGTGTTGTAGCAAGTGATGAACTAGGATGATTTAGTTGTCAAATTTGCACACTATTTAAGTATATGAAGAACACTCAGTTCCAAAATTGTTTTACATTTCAGTCACTTAACCTTGATTCTAGTATTTCTTTTCATCCTGCTAGCTTTTGGAAACTTTTGCAGGAAAGGCACCTTAAAGAAAAACTGCAATATTAACCATTACCATATCCCTCATTATAATACTGTAGCTGATACTCTCGTCACCTCTCGCCTGGACTACTGTAATGCTCTCTACATGGGGCTCCCTCTGAGGAGCACCCGGAGACTCCAACTGGTCCAGAATGCGGCCGCGCGGGCGGTGTTGGGAGGGACTCGTCGCTCCCATGTGACACCGCTGCTGCGCGAGCTGCACTGGTTACCAGTGGTCTTCCGGGTGCGCTTTAAGGTGTTAGTNACAGCTGGTAATATTTGGTTTTAATTCGGCTTTTATCGGGGTTTATTTTTTGTATTTCTGTATTTTTGTATTTTGCATTTTTTGTATTGTGTGTATATTATTTGTTTTTAATATGCTGTGAACCGCCCTGAGTCCTATGGGAGAAGGGCGGTATACAAATTAAATTATCTATCTATCTATCTATCTATCTATCTATATGGCATCATAAATATGAACTTTGCAATTAAAGAAATAGAATGTATTATTGTTTCTTCACAGCCTTAAGTGCACAGAAGTATTTTTCTGTAAATTCTTATATGTACATCATGCATGGAAAAACAGAGAAAGTTTCCCAGATTATTTTGCAGTATAAAAACAGGGTCATGAACAGTTGTAATATAGCTCTTATAAAAGGGACCAGAAGATTTTTGCCTTGCAACTTTTGAGGCAGCAAACATTATAAAATATATATTTTAATCCTGGTTCCAATATAAGGGCTTATTTAAACTTTGAAGCCCCATTTTTATACAATTCTTACATGGATTCCCAGAGATATAATGTATATGAATGTCTTGGAAGTTGCATGCAGCCAGTGGGTTGTCCACTACTGGAATAATCATCTATGTTAATTGATATCTTTCAGCTTAATAAATTGTAGCTAAAAGATATCTCTACTTAATGCATCAATTACATATGCAGCCATTGTGATATCAAGAGCTAGTATACGTTTAAGACCAAATGCACATTTTTTTAAAAAAAGAAGTCATTTTAATAATGAATGATTGTGACCAAAGAATTAATAGAGGGGAAAAGAGATCCCTTTCTCTATACCACCTACTTCCCTTTGTTAAGTTCCTCCAAATATATATATATTATCTGGATTAAATAGGAAAACTAGTCACTGTTTCTGCCAAAATAATATTCATACAATGTTATTTTGAATGAATCATCTAAAAACTATACAAAAAAAACAATTGAACTGATATGATATGGGCTAACCTACCTTGAAACAACCAGAGGCAGAATCAACATTTTCAACATTCTCATCAATAATTCTCCAGGAAATTGGAAATAACTAATTTCCTAAGGAAATAAGGAAATGGACAAATTGATTTTTTAAAAAAGCATTTATCTCAAAATAAGATGCTTTGATATCTACATTATTATTTTCTTCTTCATTACAACAGCATAAGAAAGAAAGGATGGAATGATGAGGAAATGAACATATATTAAGGGTATTAATAATTGGCTTGCTTTGAAATGGTGATTTTAATACTCCTTGGGTTCTCAGATGAATGATATGTTTAGTATAAAAACTATGAACCTAGGAAAGAATTTAGTTTAGCTATTGTTGGGGGGGGAGTACTAAATCCATTGACTGCCAGACCTATCTGTCTATATCTCAGTTAAAACAAACTGAAACAATATAATTCATCAGAAGACATCAGAACCTTAAGCTACTCATAATTCTGCGTATCAAAAACTCATCAGGGATTAATGAAGCAGGTGTGAAGTTCATAGTTTGATGCTGTAGAAGAGTCTCTCTTATGCTCCTAGTTTTCTTGGTGATGGGACATGCCTCAGAAGCTGGTGAATAACATGTGAACATGTTCATAAGAGAGGCTCTGCTCATTCAGATACCTTGACCACAGACCTTTTAAGATTTTCTAGGTCAAAACCTGCAATATTCAAGAAACCTCTCCTTGTGTCCAGCTTTTCACAGTGTTAACCTCCCAAGTTATCTATTTCACATAGCTGCTTGAATGCAACTAGATCAGAGCTATACCAGCTAAATAGATGGCAAACCAGAAGAATCTCCATGCTGTCATATTGCTTGCTTTCCTGATGTGTACTTACATATTTTGCCATGCTAAACAATTCCCTCACAAAGTGAATGGATCCATGATGGATAATTGTGACTCTATTTTACTCACAATAGGGGAGACTAATTCATATTTCTCATCTTCAGCCAGCATCTTTGGGCCAACCATGGTACAACATTTTCTCTTTGTTGTTTTAAAAAGAGAAAATTCCTGTTATTTTTAAAATTAGGTAATAAACCACTTCTAGCTAGCTTGACCAGCATGAACTGTAAACAGTGGGTAAGGTGGGAGGAAGCATAATCAGATGAGTTCCTCAGGTTGTTCTAAAACATACTTTCTAGAATAATTTCATTTGCTAACAAATAAATTTATTTTTATTTATTTATTTATTTATTTATTTATTATTAAGATCAACAAAACTGTTTCAAAGTAAATGGCTTGAGGAATGTAAGTATGTTATATATTAGAAAAGAACATACATTAGCTTCACTGGGAACAGTATATTTAGACATACCATGAATTCACAACAATGCAAGGTTTTTTAAAGGTTCCTTCCTTTTGAACATCTTCAGTATTTAACATTTTATACATTTAATTTTGCAAAAGGCTTGTAGTTTTCAACGCCTCAGCTTTTCAACCATTAAAAAAAATAATAATCTAAAGACAGCTTTAGTTTTCAGAACAAGATGTCTTATTTTGCAATATATCTAGTCCGGAAAATGTCCCTCATGGACAACTCCTGTTTTGTTTTATGAATCCTTTGTTCCTCCAATGATGCTCTACCTGCTCAGATCACTAACCTGCTGAGAAAGGCGCCTTGTCCTCAGAAAGAATCCAAGAAGACATCCCACTATGACAGATAACACTGAGAGAACGAGTAAACCATTCCTTTTGCAAACATCCTTGACCCGACCTAGCATTGTTTTGAAAGTCACTGCCATGGTGTCCTCAGTGATCTCCGGAGGGGAATCTGCATCCCATAGAAACAGAGATCTTTTCAGCCGGTCGTGTTAGAATAGCAGGCATAGATTAGATGAAATCATTTCTGAGACTGCTTAGCTGACATGCAAAGTCGCTCTCCTACCAGAAGCCACCAAGCATGTATTTCCAAATTAATTCTCACAATCCTATTAGTGACTACATCAATACGAACCTCAAGGAAGATTAAGAACTCTGGAAAATGAGAACAGAGTGGAGTGGTATTTTAGAAACCAGAGTGATCTTGGAGCAAAGTAGTGCCTAATATGAAAATAAAATAATTGTGCATTGTTCAGCTGTTATAAGCAGAGGATCCTTAATAATGGTGGCATAGAGGAATACGATCCATACAGTAGATAGCTTCTGTTTTCATTCAAAGTGTAGGTGATTAACATTAGTTAAGCACAAGATTAAACTTTAAGTAATGGTGGCTTACTTTTCACTACTAGCAATACAAATAATCTGGAAATATTGGAAGCATATGGGAAAACGTCTTGTCCCTGTCAACATTTCTTTTCAGGAAAAACTTTTTTATTTCCAGATAATTGAACTATATGCAATTGTATGCTTTATAAATGCATTATGTATAACTTGCTTTGGTCATAAATGCATGTTTGATATGTGAAATTAAAAAATATAGTTTACTCAATTTACTAATGGCTTTAATTTTTGTTGCAAATGGAGCCTCAAGAGGTTGAACTTGTATCTCTTTATTTTCATCTGCTAAGAAGGAAGCAGGCAGCCAAAAATTGTAGTTGTAAACTAAAGAAACCATTGACACTGTAGCAAAATGAAACATTTTCTCCTTCAATGTATCAAGTATAGAAAATGTTTTTTTTTTAAAAAAAGATGTGAGATCAAGACTCAGAATACACATTTTGCTACATTAAATATTATTTAATGGCAGTCATTTTTTGAATCTCATATGCTATCCTTCATCAGTTCAACACTTTTGAAGATTCAACTATATTGTCACAAAATGTTCTGCTCTATTATGAATTGTATTATTTCTTGATTTTGATGTACTTCCAAATGTAGACTTTTTTTAAAAGCATCTTAGCTATTATATTTATTTAATCCAACTTCAGTGCCACCCAACTCAAGACCCAAATCCATACTTATCCCAGGCAGTTCACAAGAAAAAAAAAAACACAACACAAATAAAAGAAGATACATAAAAATGCAGAAAACAAATTAAACAAAATAGTAAACCAAGACATTTAACATCAAAACAGATGCAACATATGACAAACATATCTAACAAGGGATTGCATACATTCTGCCTCAAGGCCTAGGACAGGGTTAGGCAACCTTGGCTCTTTTATGACTCATGGACAACTCCCAGAATTCCTGAGTCAGCTATGCTGACTCAGGAATTCTGGGAGTTGAAGTCCATGAGTCATAAAAGAGCCGAGGTTGCCTACCCCTGGCCTAGGAGAAAGCCGGGTCTTTCCTCCCCCCCACTTTAAAATAAATTATTTGTATTATAGCATGTTTCCTTTTTGCCCCAGTTTTCCAATTTGGGGGTAGATCTTTGAAGGAATCGCTTGATTGACAGGTAGCTACACAAATATGACAAATACATAAACAACATCCACACCAATACTTCATGGGCATTTAATTTAAAAAGTAAACATAAAAGAAAAACTAATGTCTAAAAAAGATCCATTCAGTATCAGCTTAGTATCAATATATCATTAATTCATTCCTTCAATATATAATTGAATCTAGATATTTTTCTTGAATGTTTCTAGTGGTTTTTGTGACATAGATATCTTCAATCACTATTCATTTTATAGTGACTAGTAGATTAGCCACAAATGTATAATCAATTCATGAATCACACACATACATTTGTTTTGCCCCTTTTTATACAAGAAAAGGAAGAATTTGCAAGGATTATCAGCTACTAGGACATTCCTTCTTTCTTTAGCAACTGTTTTTATTTATAAAAATATCAGAAACTCTTCTAAAAATAACTATTTAGAAATTGTAAAAATACGTCGCCATCAAATGTTTTGCAAACTACAAAAATAATCCCATTTCTAAATATTGTTTAAGTAAAAGCAAAGGTTAGGACGCGACAACTGAAAGCAGGAATGGCTGTTGTACAAAATACCAGAAAATCCCAAGCACTATCATTTGTATTGAAGTGCTCATGAAAGTCATTTTAAAGATGATGGCTGTGATCCAGCGATTATGCTTATACTGATTATTTCTTTAATGATTATTTGGAAAGTTAATCAACCAGAATAAGGGCAGGAGAAGAAACTGTAATGCTCAGTAAAAAGCTCTAGACAAATAAGCAGATAAAACCACAATAAACTGACCTGGGAAAAATAGCAGCACTTATTGAAATGTACATCTACAGAGGTTAGAGCAGGTGGCAACAAGTAACAAGGCTGGTCTCAGAATGCTAAGCAGAGCTGAATTTGGTTGTTTTTTGGACAGGGAAATGCCAGGTGATCCTAGAACTGTAACTTTGACTAAGAAATAACAACAGCAGCCACAACTTAGGCATGAAAGCCAGCTGGGTGACTTTGAACCAGTCATTTTTTCTCAGCCCAACCCACCTCACAAGGTTGTTGTTGTGGGGAAAATAGGAAGAGTTATTCATAAAGTTCATAAAAATAATAAAACAATGACAACCTGGTAAAAGGCAAAAGCAACCCATTTGTGACTTGCTACCCAAAACCATCATGGATGTGACTATGTACCAAGGAGTTGTTTTTAGGGAGCCTTAATTTTTTTATGCATGAATGCTGTTCTACATGCTACCTTCGTCACAGTTGTGGCGTGACCAGATCCTGAGTATATTTACTCAATGAAAAGTTGCATTTTATTTAATACCCCCTTCTTCCAAAATACCTGCAAACAAAACCAAATAGCTTTTTGATAACTTAAAAACAAAAAGCGTGTTCGTTTGATGGAAATTCCTTCCTTTGATCATTCCATAGTATTGTGGCCCAATTTGTTTGAGCAAACTAAGAGATATCTCTTTCAAACCGTAGACTCCTCTAAGATGTCCTGTCTCAACAGTTGCATTTATTATGGATATAGAGACAGATAGATAGGAATGGCTGGGTTTCTTTGCATTTTATAAAATTTACTGAATGTTACAAAATGACAAAAAGCACGATGATGTTAAGTACTGCAAAACTGAAACAAACTAAATTGCTACATCCCTATTTATTAACTGATGGTTAGATTCTGTCCCAACGTGTTTGAAAGAAAATATCATCAAATAATTATTCAGCGCAACTCTTGGGGCAGCAAACACACATTTTTAAACATTCCCATACAAGGGATTTTCCTATAATTCTTACATGAGTGAAGTGTGAATGCTCTTAAAAACACTAACTTATAGATCACTAAACAATTATACAGATGTCCAATATATGCTAGACAACACTCAGTGAAATCAAAACCAAGAACATTTAAATGACTTTTACAGCAATGCTATTCAGATTACAGCATTCTCCTAAAAGTCCCAAAGATGCTTTTTCACAAGGCAACTGGACTTTCTTGTTTTTCTTTGAAGACAATATTTGATATCTGATATCAAGAGCTGAAAAAGCTTCTTGGATGAGAAGCGAAATATCTTCAAGGAAAAACAAGAAAGTCCAGTTGCCTCGTGAAAATCTTCTTTGGGACAACCATGACCTGAATGACTAAGAATCTCGATAGACAATTAAAAAAAAAAAAAGGTTTCACTTAAGTCAAGTTGAAAGCAATGTAGCCTATTCCAAAGAAAGGGTCAACAGGACTGTGACCTAATGTTATCATCCTGTATTTGCTTTTGTGGAAGTAACTCCTATTGAATTCCACAAAAAAAAAATGTATTTTTGGCATGCAAAGAAAGGAAAGGAAAACGGAGAAAATGCGCATCCCAACTCTCTCTCTCGAGAAAGAGGCGCTACTCTCTGCCCTCTTGTGTTTTTCTCGGTGATTGACAGGTAATTTAATTTGCCCATAGGCTGCTGAGAGCAGAAGTCGTGCTTCTGTCACGAAGAACGGAAGAAAGAATCTCTCTCGCCCTTTTTTTTTTATAAATCTCTGCAGCTCGGGATACGAGGCGGTTTGGTCTCAGAAGAAACGGGGAAACCACTTCTGCCTCAGTTCCCTCTCCCCTTTCCACCAGTTAAACCAGTGTCTCCGGTTTAGCACCCTCCAGGTGCCTGGGCGCTCCAGAACCGGAGCCAAGGGAAACACTGCAGAGTACCCAGCCCCTTTCTGCCACTGGCTTGTGCACTTTGTGGCTCGATCGGGGGGCGGGGGGCGGGGTGTCTCCAAATTTGGCAACCTGCAAGACTTGTGGACTTCGACTCCCAGAATTCCCCAGCCACTCAGCCTGCCTTCAATTCTGGGCGTGACAGTCCACAAGTCTTACAAGTTTTTGTTTTTGTTTTTTACAAAGTTTTGCTTTATGGGAAGGCGGGTGGGGTGCTGTCACTTCAGAGAGAATTGGCTAGTTCAGGGGTAGGCAACCTTGGCTCTTTTATGACTCGTGGACTTCAACTCCCAGAATTCCTGAGCCAGCACAGCTGGCTCAGGAATTCTGGGAGTTGAAGTCCACGAGTCATAAAAGAGCCAAGGTTGCCTACCCCTGGGCTAGTTTGTAGCGCAGAGTCAGCGCCTCGTCTGAGTGTTCAGCTTGGGGTCAGTTCAGTCGCTATGCAAACTTTCATTAACTACGGAGAGTTTAGCAGAGCGCCGTGCCACACACACACACACACACACACACACACACACAAAGGCTTAAAACCAGCAACTCGGCCTATTCATAAGCAGCCCAGGGTGCGCGATCTGCCACCGGAGCCGTCCCACGTCTTCTGATCTGAAGTAACTCCTCCCAGGGGCGGGCACCGATGGCTGGCTCTCTCCTTTTCCGCCACCGGGAGGGAAAGTATCCAGACCGCCATGGTGACCGGGGCGCTGCTATTTTCTTCCTTCTCCCGCTTCCGGAGGGCTTGGCTCCCGCCTCTCCTCGTCGGGCCCCGAAGAAGCTACAGCCAAGACGATGCATTCTCCCAGTACTTGCACCGCAGCATCGTCCCCACTATGCATTATCAGAAGAGCCTGCCCCGGTAAGGAAGTGCCTCCTTGGAGACTGGGGTGAAAGAGCAGTGCTTGGTCTCTGGTCCCCGGGACTGGTCCTGTGGCCCTTCGGCCTCGATCCCTTCCGGCTTTGCTTGTTGGCGTCCTTCGATTGCCCTTCTGAAGTGGCCTTTAGGTCCTCGCGTCCAATTCCCTCCCCTCTTTCAAAGAGGAAATTAAGTATACAAGTCAGTGTATACTTTTCTCACTCGCTGGGTTTGGGGGAAGTTGCGAAGTAACTATATCTTAAGTCAGAGGTGGCGAACCTATGGCACGGGTGCCAGAGGCGGCACTCAGAGCCCTCTCTGTGGGCACGCGCGCTGTCGCCCCACTCCTAGGCCTTCAGCTGGGTTTTATAAAACCTTTTCACTTTAAGCCACCACTGCCATGTACAAAAAAAAAAAAAGGTTCAATCAATCAGTCAATTTCAACCTCTCGCGGGAAAAAAAAGTTCTTGCAAAGTTGGAATTGATTGATTGAACTTTTTAGTCCCACCCAGTCTGCCGGTACCACCGCAGCCACGCCCGCCCAATGGGCCACCCCCACCCAATGGGCCACGCCCACCCGGCACCCGATGATGCATAAGTGGGTTTTGGGTTGCAGTTTGGGCACTCAGACTCTAAAAGGTTCGCCATCACTGTCTTAAGTCGTACACGGAAGCTCCCCATATCCAATTAAGATTTCCTTAGAAATTCAGTCCCATAGCACTTGGCACAAACTCTTCAAAGGGCAAATGCCTAGGGAGATTCTCTCAACCGTCACCCTGTCCCAAAAGCGCTTTTTCCAAAAGTCAAATTGACTTTTTCCCCCCCTCCTTTGAAATCGTTTCGCTTCTCATCCAATCTTTCCATTTCGCATCCAAGCTTCTTGGATGAGAAAAGAAACGTTTTCAAAGGAAAGGACACCCTCCCCCACCACAAAAGTCCAATTGTCTCTTGGAGGAAGCATCTTTGGGTCTTCAAAGAGCACATAATTTGTTCCATTTCATAACTGGTCTCTATAGAGAAGCAGGCTTTTGGTTGGTAAGAGTTTCATGATAAAAAATTGCAGTGATTTGACAAATTTCTTGCTTCAGGAATCGGGGAGCATTGACCAATTGCCTTCTTAAGGTGAACTTGGAGAGGAGATAAGTTTGGACAAATGGGTTTAGCCATCACCTGAGCTTGATCTGTAGGATAAGTGGGGCTTTTTGCTTCTGCCTTATCAGGAAGCCCCCATCTACCTTCTGGCTCATCCTAAGACCTGATATGTTGGGTGAGTGCTGAAGACTGCCCTCCACTTTAGGGGACAGAGTCTGTTACTCCACCTCATGAATCAGATAGTGTTGGGGAGTTCCCAATAACATAGGAGAGTCCCTTTTGATCCACTGCAGAACTTGATTCATGGGTGTCACTTTGCAGGGCAGTGTAGAAAAAAGGTCTTCATCAATAGGTAAATTGCTGTGCCAGGTGCTGTAGTTGCCTTCACCTTCCTCCCATGCAAACACTTGACAGCAGCCAATAGTATCCCAGTCCCTGCTGAGTCATCACCATAATCCCTACTAAAGTGCTACATGTATACTATACAGTAAAAGCCTTTGAACAAGATAGTACTTTGCAGAAATCCATAAGGAATATCTCTTTGCAGAACACCAGTTGCATTGAAATTAATCATGCTTGTATTTTCTGAAGTCAAGGATAAATGGAAAACTTCATCTACATCATTTTTGAACCCAGATATCTGATAGGTTGCCATGGACTCAAAGCTGCATAGGATGCCAGTCCATCAGGGGCAGTGGACATGTTCTGAGTATTCATGTGATAGCTGGTTATCCTCAATATGCAGTTTGGACATACATATGTACATTATTTATTCATATTCATAACATACCAATGAGTTTCCTGCAGTTATCATTCACCTGAAGCAGCAAAGTTAAACTTTTTAAAAAAAAACATACAGTACAGTAGTATAATGTGTGATCTCAGAACAAAGATTTTAATTTGTCTTAATAGCTGGATTGTCCTGATTATTCTGTGAATTCATGAGAGGACAGGAACTAATTTTATTTTTGCACAACTCTAGAGGTGCTAAGAGATAGTATGAATCTCTTGTTTAATTCAACTCCAGATTAAGAGAATGTTCAGCTTTTGGATTGCTCACAAGAATATCTAAGGTGAAATGTGAGTTACTGTATTCTAAATTACAGCACAACAAAGAGTTGTTTAAGAGCTCAAAATGACAAAGGGAAAGTGCAAGAGCTTCATTGCAGTTGGTAATGAAAGAAGACCAGAATAAAATATGGTATGTAGGTGAAAGGGTAATGCTAAAAGCAGGACATGATTCTCATCATTGCTATTCAGAGTTATACATTTTTTTAATTTGTTGTTACCTTCAAATCAGTTTTTGACTGCTGGTGACAGTCTGGACTAGTCCCTACAATTTTCAAGGACTGATTCTATGTATCTATGTAATTACTAATGCCTTTGTACCTATTTTGTTGACTTTATGCATTGTTCATTTCTAAATTGAGAGCCAGTTTGGTGTAGCGATTAAGGCTAGAAACCAGGAGCCTGTGAGTTCTAGACCTGCCTTAGGCATGACAGCAGTTGGGTGACCTTGGGACAGTCACTCTTTCTTAGCCCTAGGAAGAAGGCAATGGCAAACCACTTGCAAAAATGTTGCCAAGAAAATTTCAGGGACTAGTCCAGGCAGTCACCAGGAGTGAACAATGACTTGAAGGAGAAACTTTTAAAATCAGCTTACCTAGGATTATTCTATTAAGGTCAAAGTGTACTATTTAGTTGTCTAAATAACAGTGAATTCAACACTGCATACTTTGCACTTTTTACTGTTCCTGCTAAATGAGTAGCTTACATAGAGGTTACTGTGGTAAAAGAGATAAAGATCATCCAATATACCTTAAATATTAACTCAAATGTTAATCTGGAAGCATTTGAGCCAGTTGTACAGTTGTACAGTATTCATTCTCCTCCTCCTATTTTCCATTTCCCAGTTGTTAATACGCAACAATATGCAACTGTTTTTGCTTAGTTACTGTGCTCAATGCTCATTGGTTTAATTGGGGGATTGGAGTTTATTTATGCATTGTACTTATGCAGAAATATTGATAACAATTGTTTTAAGTCTGGAAGGCATTTTTCTGATGTAAGACTTTATTATAGGTTATGATTAATAGAATCTCTTTTTGTTTCTTTATTAATTTGCTTATTTCAGAATAGCTGAATGCTTGATACAAAAATGTGTTTACAATATTATCAATAAACTATGCATAGATATAAGTTATAGTGTTACAGCTGCTTTGGAGCGTGTATTTAAATTAAAAACTGTTTGACCATTTAATCTATCAACATGTTTTTCTTGAGAGTTTGTGATATTGTTTTTTTAACTTCACAGACTCAATATTTTATTCCTCTTGTTATTAGTTTGCCCATTCCCAAACTTGAAGATACAATTAGAAGATACCTGAATGCTCAGAAACCTCTTTTGGATGATGATCAATTCAGGTAAGAACAAGCTTTCATCTCTCTGATATCCTGTCCAGGTACCTATCTCAGCCTGCAGGTTGCCCTGCAGATGATTATTATTATTATTATTATTATTATTATTATTATTATTATTATTATTATTATTATTATTATTATTATTATTATTATTATTATTATTATTATTAAAAAGTTGGAAGGGACCTTGGAGGTCATCTAGTCCAACCCCCTGCTCAGGCAGGAAACCCTATACCATTTCAGACAAATGGCTGTCCAGTCTCTTCTTAAAAACTTCCAGTGTTATGTATAATGTGTATAATGTGCTGCATTATAGCTCCCGTTCTCCTGACTATTGTTTGTGCTGACTGAGACTCATGACAATACTAATCTAGGCAGTCTCAGAAAAACCTTCTAAATAGCACTAAAGGAAATTTCTCTCCCCTTTGCATTTCAGAACAGTTAATTCAAATGCAGATCTAAATAGCAATAGCAATACCATTTAGACTTATATACCGCCCCATAGTGCTTTACAGCACTCTCTGGGCGGTTTACAATGTCAGCATATTGCCCCCGACAACCTGGGTTCTTATTTTACCGACCTCGGGAGGATGGAAGGCTGTGTCAATCTCGATCGAACTACAGACTGTGGGCAGAGTTGGCCTGCTAGGCTGCATTGTAACCATTGTGCCACCAGGACTCCTTTTGCCTAGATAATAGTTCTTCCACACCATAATAAAGGTCATCTTCTTTATTCTTTACAATATATCAGGTTAGCAGAACCTTATCATTTAGCTGCATACTTCACATTTTCACTCAAAGAATTGTATATATCAGAGAGATATACTAAATTTCCTTCTCTGTGTCTTTTTTAAATTTAGGAAAACAAAACAACTGGCTGGCAACTTTGAGAATGGCATCGGTAGAGAATTGCATGATCATTTGGTTGCAAAGGACAAACAAAACAAACATACTAGTTACATTTCAGGTAGGAAAATGATTGTGAAATGTTGCTTATCTTCCTGATGTCTTTTCCTTAAACTGCTCAATTAAGAATCAGTTCTAACCCGGCAGATAGCAAAGAATGGATCTTCCTTTTCATTAACTCAGGCTGAAGCCACAGGTCTGGAACTGGCTTTAAGGCTTGTTTGCATTTTGAACGGTTAACATTTCCTTTAGGAGTGTGCATGAAATGGAAAGTATATTTTCTTTCAAACCAGGAACAAATCTATGTGTTCCAAAAGTTTTGCTGAACCATTTCAGTTTATCCACAGTTCAGCAGAACCAATAGCCAAGAGGTTTTGGTTGTTCCAGGTTTCAAGACAAAACTAAATCTGGAGGGATCCTGGAGTGATTTTTGTGCAGTGAATAGGCCAAAGCTGTACAGATTACCTCTTCTCTCCATTCCTTGCCTTAGTAGCTCACAGCATGACATATTCCCCTGGCATGCCCCATTTCTCCTCCCCTCCCCTCCCTCCCTCCCTCTCTTCTTTCATGCACTGCATAACCTATCTTGCTATATACCAGTGATGGCGAACCTTTTAGAGACCAAGTGCCCAAACTGCAACCCAAAACCCACTTATGCATCGTCAGGTGCCGGGTGGGTGTGGCCCATTGGCTGGGTGTGGCCCATTGGGTGGGCATGGCTGTGGTGGTACCGGCAGACTGGGTGGGACTAAAAAGTTCAATCAATCAATTCCAACTTTGCAAGATCTTTTTTTTCCCGCGAGAAGTTGAAACTGACTGATCGATTGAACGTGGGTTTTTTTTTGCACACGGCGGCGGAGCCCTAAAGCAAAAACGTTTTATAAAACCCAGCTGAAGGCCTAGGACTGGGGTGACGACGCGCGTGCCCACAAAGAGTGCTCTGAGTGCCGCCTCTGGCACCCGTGCCATAGGTTCGCCACCACTGCTATATACCCACTCTAGTCTTCCCAGTGTCTTTTCTCCCCTCACCATTGCTGATGTCCTTGGCCGTTCTTCACTGTTACCTTCTCTACACAGAACAATTAAATTTATAGCCTGGACATAACATTCAAAGACATTTGTCTCAGTTTGGGCTATCAGAAACTTCTGTTCCATACATGGAATTTCTTGAGTCAAAGCTGAATGTGTCCCCCCACAAAGACTGGGTTGGAATTAGTCTTAAGCCAAAACCCTGGAGCTCCAGAATAATTTCCGAGAGAACCTATAACAGACATTAGATTCCTTCTTCTAAATCTAGAGAATGGAAGAGAATACAGTGGATAGGTGGAACAAGCATCTCTTTCCATGCAGAATGTGGCAGGTTCAACTCTTAGCATCTTTAGCAGGAAAGCAGGATGGCCTAATTACCAAGCAGTTGCCTTTTATTTACTTGAATACTCTTCAAGTAGTGAAGGAGGAAATGAGAAGGGAAGTTTTTTGTTGCAGGAAAAAATATGTTATTTTATTCATTATAGCAGTGATTTTTCAAACTGGGGGTAATTTGAGCATAGTCTGGGGCTAATGGAGCAATTTCTAACTGCTTGGGAGTTGAGAATCCAGATTGCTGCTGCAGAGATGCTTGTACAAAAAAACAGACCTTTGGCCTTGCATGTGTGTGTGTGTGTTTGTGTGGGCAATGGAATTATTTGAGATAGGGAAATGGAGCAATTGGTTCAAACAATTGAAGAACCGCTGTGTTATAACTTTCACATACTGCCGATTCCATATGCCATTCTGAGAAATAAAATATACGGTCTGTAGAAATAAGAGCGATCATAGTAACTTAATGTCCATTACCAACAAAATATTAATCTATTGCAGGCTGCTAAACTTTATGGTTTGGGAAAAGAGAACAGTCAGGATGAGATAAAGAAAAGGAAACTTACTTCAGCAGATGAAGGAATACCAGAACATAAAGAAAGGAGACAGCAAAAATAAGACAAAAAAATGAAAGAGAGAGAACAAAAATAGAAGAACAGCAAGGAAGAGAACCTTTATAGAATTTAGATTAGTGAACTTAATTTACAGGTAATCCTTGACTTATGACTGTTCATTTAATAATGGCTCAATGTTACGAACGGCCTTGGAAAAAGTGGCTTATGACCTGTACTTGCACTTACAAACCTTGCACCACCTGTTGGTCACGTGATGACAACTTGAGCACTTGGCAACAGGCTCACATTTATGACTGACTGCAGTGTCCTGCGGTCTCATGAACATGATTTGTGACCTTCCCAGATAGCTTTTGACAAACAAAGTCAAGTGGGGAAGTCAGATTTCCTTAACAACTGCAGTCACGTGATCACACGGTTATGTGACCCTGCTTTGTGACCCTTTTTTTGTGGATTTCTGACCAAAAATGCCCATTGGGGAAGATGGATTTGCTTAACAACTGCATGATCCACTTATCGACTGCCATAAAAATTATTGTAAAATTGGGTCCAACTTGTCTTATGACTCCAATGACTCCTATGTTTTTCTCTTCTTCTTACATGTATGATATTGGCATCTAAAATGTACATGTAGTCCTTGAGTTACGACTGGAATGGTCAGGCTCATCATGGTCATGTGGTTTATTAAGCAAATGCTGTGGTCATTAAGCAACTCTTGAGGACTATCTGTGCCTAGGGTAACAGCGTGTTTGTATACCACATGCCCATTATTGGTAGAAATCTCACCACATTTGACTCTGTTCTATTTCTCAGCTGAATCCTTCTATGAAAGAGTGACTCATTACACAGTACATAAACAAGACCCTGAATTAAATACTTGTGGATTTAAAATGCTATCTGTCCCGTCCTATTTGCTTGAGAGTAGGCTAAGAAGTGATTAATGCATTAAAACTTAGCCAAATTATAATCTTTCCACTGAAAGAAAAAACAAAATCTGCAGAAGCAAAATATAGAGAGTCACGTGGAAATGGAAAGAATTGTATCATTATTCTCCTTCCCCACCCCACCTATTTTTCTTCTATTTGAAATAAAATGCTAAAAGGTTTATTTGTTTAAATGAAATTTAGGAAGACGATAGCGAAGTAGCTCTCTGTTTCTGTGGGCAATTAATAAGCAGCAGCTGAGTAAAGTTGACTGAGAGGAAATGGTTACTTATAAGTGGAATATAAGTGGAAAATCCAAGGTAATTTTTGCAAATCAAAATCACACAAAATTGCTTGATTCCATTCCATAGGGGTAGCAACTTTGTCCTAATTTGCAGCAGAATTGGTGGTCTAAATGCACATTATTTACTACTTCCTTATCAATGTTCTGCAGAGCCCAAGATTTGGGGTTGTAGACTTCTTTTCTGATACCTAGTTTACTGCTAACCTCTGTCACGAACCTGTGAAAATTAAAAATTAGTAGCACAGGAATGTCACTTTTATACCAATGTATTTGTCTGAAGGTTCAGACTATGCAGGCGATTACCTTTTATTTCTTACCAGTATTAATATTCTTTTTGTAGTCCTCATATTTGTGAAGAAATCCCACACTTTTTATGCCAAGTATAGAATTCAGTTACTTTAGTGGATAGAAAGAAGCCAGGAATTAGAAGTGAAATCTTTGCTGGGGAACTGAAACTTTTGGAGAGAAAAAAGGAAAGAAAAACACAGGAAAGAGCAGAAGCAACAGGCAAAAAGGTAAAAGAAAAAGCTAGAGTGTATTTGTATGTGTCCTTTTTCATTGAAGACAAATGATAAATGGTCAAAGAGGAGAGCAAATGGTAAATGAGCATTGGATGCAAAACAAATGCCCCATATTAAATTAATGGCAGGAAATGTAAAAGAAATTCTGTTTTCAGTTGTCATTAACTCGGAAACTTTTCTACCGCATCCCATAGATCAGGGGTCTTCAGACTTGGTCCTTTTATGACTTGTGGGCTTCAACTGTCTGGCTGAGGAATTCTGGGAGTTGAAGTCCACAAGTCATAAAAGGGCCAAGTTTGAAGACCCCTGCCATAGATCTTCACTAAATATGCTTTTGACTGGAGTCCCTCACATAAGCCTCCCATGTTAATGACATTTGAAGAGCGGCATGGTGGCCTAGTGGTGAAAATGTTCACCGCCCACTCGGAAGGTTGAAAGTTCAATCCTAAGTAACGGCAGATGTTTCTCACTCAGGGCGCAACGAAAAAATATCTGCTGCAAACTCTGCATGGTATCATGAAGGGCTTCCAGCCAGCAAACAATCAGCTCCAGCCAGTTGCCCCAACTCTACCCTAATTTAAGGGATTACATGGTCGTAAAAAGGGACTTAATGATACGTAATTTACTCCTCTAGCTTAATTTACTTCTATGGTTGCTTCTTAATTTCAGGTCCCTGGTTTGACATGTATCTTCAGGCACGGAAATCTGTTATTCTTAACTTCAATCCATTCATGGCTTTCACTCCTGACCCCAAACCTGAATACAACGATCAGCTTGTGAAAGCCACCAACATGACAGTTGCTGCTTTACGTTTCTTGAAGACTCTTAGGGCAGGCATCTTAGAACCAGAGGTGTTTCATCTGAACCCCTCCAAAAGCGACACTCCCGGGTTCAAAAAGTTTATTCGATTGGTGCCTTCTTCTCTCTCATGGTTTGGTGCCTATATGGTGAATGCCTACCCACTAGACATGTCACAATACTTCAGACTTTTCAATTCCACGCGGCTGCCTAAACCCAGGAAAGACGAGCTGTTTACAGATGAGCATGCAAGGCATTTACTGGTGCTTAGAAATGGTCACTTCTATGTGTTTGATGTGATAGACCAAAACGGCAATATAGTGAAACCCTCAGAAATTCAAGCCCATTTAAAATTTATCCTTTCGGACAATACTGCAGTTCCAGCATCTCCTCTTGCTTATCTAACTACCGAAAACCGGGACACCTGGGCGACTCTGAGACAGGAACTCCTTGACAATGGCAACGGGGAGGCCTTAAGGAAAGTGGATTCAGCCATATTCTGTCTGTGCCTTGATGATTTCCCAATTAAAGATGTCGACCATTTGTCTCGTGCTATGCTCCATGGCGACGGCACTAACAGGTGGTACGACAAATCATTTAATCTTATTTTAGCTAAAGACGGCTCTGCAGCAGTTCACTTTGAGCATGCTTGGGGAGATGGTGTAGCTGTGCTTAGGTTCCAAAACGAAGTCTTTAAAGACAGCACCGAGATGCCTGCCGTTACGCCTCAGTCCTTGCCAGCTGCCTGCGATTCGCACGGAGCTGTAGAGAAGCTAAATTTTAAACTGAACGATGCCTTAAAAGAAGGAATTACCAAAGCCAAGCAAAAATTTGATGCTACTGTGAAAACACTAACGCTGAAGTCCTTGCAGTTTGAAAGAGGAGGCAAGGAATTCATAAAGACCCAGAAGTTGAGTCCTGATGCCATCGTCCAGCTTGCCTTCCAGTTGGCTTTTCTTAGGCAATATGGACAGACAGTTGCCACCTATGAATCTTGTAGCACAGCAGCATTCAAACATGGTCGCACTGAAGCGATCCGGCCTGCTTCAGTTTACACAAAGGCATGCTCGGAGGCATTGGTCAAGAGGCCGTCCAAGCACAGTACTGTGGAATTACGCCAGATGATCACAGTGTGCTCTACGTATCACGGTCAACTCACAAAAGAAGCTGCTCTGGGTTAGTATAGCTGGGGAGTTTTGGTGATCTTCAGCCTTGCTTTTGGTTATACTGATTGCAGCCCTTTTCTTAACGTTGAGTTCTCTGTGGAACAAATGTGAGCACAGCAATATAACTTTTTTTTAAAGTAGCTTAATCCAATTGCAAAATGTCATTTTGATCCGTTGAGTTCGTTGATCAATGAATTGATTCATTCAGTTTACATGCTGCCTGACTCCAACTGACTGGGAGGCTCACAATAGATTTATATACCAAGATTACAAAACACCTCAATATAATATTGTGAGAAGTAAATGTTATGCAAATTGGCAGCATGCCCTCCTCACTACCTGTTGGAGCAGTCCACATACAGCTACCTTTGAAGGCCATCCTGAAGCTATCACTGCTTCAGTACAGAGCAACTTGGGTGTTATCTGGTGCACAATGCCTAGGGCTTAACTGGTAGTGCTAATGAACAAAATTGAAACTTTGATTATTAAGCAAACCGCAACTGTGCTTATGAACTTACTTCAGTTTTTCTTTGCTTTGCAGACCTGTGAGGGTCATAAGTGTGAAGGGTTGGTTGCTTTTTCATTACTGTTATAACTGCAAAAGTTGTTAAACAAGGCAGTTGCTAAATAAGGACTATCTGTATTGATTCTGAAGGTTCTGCGCCATCTGCCAGTAGGGTGAAATTCAAAATGCTGGTTTTGTCCTATAAAGCCTTTTATGGTTGGCACTTAGGTGTGTTCAGGAACTCCCTTTCCAATTGAGGTTGACCCATTTTGAGATATTCATCCCGGAAGAAACTGCTTCTGGTGCCCCATCTTTAGAAGTGGGATAGGGATGGGACTGAGATCAGGAAGTGCTCCTTTTCAGTAATGGATGTAGTGCTTTGGAGTATCTTCCTTCTGGAATTGACACATTGCTATTAGCTTTTTGAAAACAGGTAAAAACTGAATTATTGTGGAATAATAACCTCTGGGAGGTTAATACCTATTTCTTTATAAAATGTACGCACTGCTTCAAACCAGGTGGTCTCCAGGCAATTTATCTGTATATCATAAATATACAATAAAAATAAAACAACCAAAACATAAGCAATACATTAATATAGCAAATCTAAATCCTACATGAATGTCTCCAGAATCAGTCCTGAAACTCCCTCTGGAAAAATCATCTCTTTACACTTATTAGAAAGTAAAAGATGTTGCCTGTGTTTTACTGCTGTGCTTTAATTTTTATATACTGGTATCCTTATCAGGAGCATATTAATCATCACTAGCACCAGTAGTCACTGAGATATTAACTGAATAACATTTCAGATGGCATAAAGCCTCCTAGGCACTGAAAGAGATTAATATAGTGACTGAAACTATTTAAATAAATTTAGTGCTTATTTAAATAAGCTCACATAACCTTTTTTTTTTTTAACAGCAATAGTTTTTCATTTAAGAGCAGCCATTTGGAAGTGGAATAAAATATGATTTTGAAACAAGTAGTAACTTTTTCCGAGCCGCTCACTGTTGTATTTTTCTTGACAGGTCAGGGATTTGATCGTCACCTCTTTGCATTGCGGTGTGAAGCAGAATCCCAAGGAATTTCTTTGCCAGATCTTTACAAGGACCAAGCTTATGCCCTAATTAATCACAACATTCTCTCCACAAGTACTTTGAGCAGCTCATCTGTGAACCTGGGTGGATTTGGGCCGGTGGTGCCTGATGGATTTGGTTTAGGTTATAGCATACACGATAACTGGATCGGGTGCAATGTTTCGGCTTATCCATCTAGGAATGCACCAGAATTCCTGCAGTGTGTGCACAAGTCACTGGATGATATTTTTGATATTTTAGAAGGGAAACAAATTAGTAATTAAGATAGAGCAGGGCTGGCTTTCTTAAATGTGTGGCTTCCTCTGGCTCAAGGATAATGTTCTAGCTCAGAGGTAGGCAACCTTGGCTCTTTTATGACTCGTGGACTTCAACTCCCAGAATTCCTGAACCAGCCATGCTGAGGGGAAAGGGAGAGTTTCCAAGCTGAGCCATGTTGGCTCAGGAATTCTGGGAGTTGAAGTCTACAAGTCATAAAAGAGCCAAGGTTGCCTACCCCGTTCTAGCTGGACTATGACCTGTTTCTCCTTTTTAAAAATGACAGATTAAGGTCTGGAGAAAAAAAAAGAATGTAAAGGTTAAAGAGCCGGCCCACTGGGTTTTAACATTTGCCGTGACTAATTTGTTACATTGCTTTTAATGGCTGTTCTCTAAATATGACTAAGGCTAGATCCAACTCTCTAAGGGTAAATGGACTTCAATTGTAAAAAAAGTGTTGTCTACTAGCTATCAGCCAATAGAAGGTCTTGCAGTATGTCTGCTTGATACATCTTCGAGGATTCATTCGATCTTTGCTAATATATATGTTTAATTTTTAATACACAACTATCAAATATATGACTGGATGACTTTTAGATAGCAACACCCCTTTTGTGAGGCTTTATGTAAAAGACAATCCAGTATTATACATTTATTTTTGTAAAAGGAAAGAAATCTTGACTAGCATGTTCATTGGAGCAGAAATGTTCATATACTTCCTGAGATCTGCCTTGTGACACTCAAGTGAAATTTTTGGAATTCTTACAACAAACAGTTACAGGAATATTCAATAAGGCAAGCACCAAATTTACCCAAGAGGAAGGAAAAAAAATCCTGAATGTAAGACGAAGGATTTGTTTCCGTTTAGTCTTCCTTCCTCACAAGCAAAAATCTTGTAAAAATGCCCATTTCTGTGCCTAGTAAACTGAAGTTAACTACTGCAGAGAATGATAGAATTGTGCGATTTGAAGTGAAACTCTAGCTGACACATTGATCACTAGGCATCATCACGCCCACCCTGGTAACTGAAAATATGATACAGGAGACACACTGGGTACTACTACACTTGATCTTAGCCAAAAGGCCGAGAAGCGATACACACTGGGTAAAAAAAAAATTCTCCCCAAATAAATGGGGTGGAAATCATATAAAATGGCATACATGGAGAAATAACAAGAAACATTCATATCTGCTCTGAAAGCTTAAGGCAGGGGTGTCAAACTCAATTTCATTGAGAGCCGCATCAGCATTGTGGTTGCCCTTAGGGGGCCGGGTGGATGTGGCCAGGGTGGGTGCGGCCTACTGGGTGGGTGTGGATGGGGTGGGTGTGGCCTACTGGGTGGGTGTAGCCAGTGGGATAGATCTGAGGGTCTCTGGCAGAAGGGGGTGGGACCAGGGCAAGTGCCAAGGCATGGTCCACTGGAGGACCCTCACTGTTCCTCTCAGGCCATGCGGGGAGGGGGGGGCTTATGGAGCTAAGACTGAATGCGTTTCAGCATAGATGGCCACCACAAAATTGTACATTTGCCAAGGCAGAGGGGGGTGTTCCTTCACTGTTTCCAGGATGGCTTCGCGGGCCACATGAAACCACTTTGCGGGCTGCATCCGCCTTGTGTTTGACATGTCTGGCTTAAGGGATGATAATGCAGATAGTCCTCAACTTACAGCCACATTGGGACCAGAATTTCCATTGTTAAGCAAGACGGTTGATAAATGCCTCACACCTGATTTTACAACCTTTCTGCCACAGTTAAGTGAATTGCCGCAGTTGTTAAGTGAAACAGGTGGTCATTAAGCGAATTCACCTTGCCCTATTGACTTTTCTCCTTGGAAGCCGGCTGGGAAGGTCACATGCGGTAATCACATGATCTAAAGAGGCTGCAAACCTCATAAACCCATGCCAGTTGCCAAGGACGCAAATTTTCATCACATGACTGTGGGGATGCTATAATGGTCGTAAGTGTGAGGACCAGTCATTTTTTTCAGTGCTATTGTAACTTCAAACGGTCGCTATATGATGGTTGTTAAGTCAAGGACTACCTGAAATATCATTCTGTCAGAGCTTCCAGCTGGAATGTATCCTGAAAGCTTTCTGTTGAATAAATGTGACATTGCATGTCAATGTACATCTGTTTACATGTGTCTACTAGAAGCTACATAACAAAAAACAAAACAAAATAACTGTAACTAATGGTGCCTAAGTAAAATTAATTGTCTAAAAAAATAAAAAATAAGGTTCCTCACTGAGAAAATTCTTATTTCTTATGCACTGAAACATAAGAATACAGGCTCATATATTCCTTTACCTCCCAATAGAATCAGGTCCACCCTTCACCTAGAACTAGTCATATCTTCCCAAGAGGAGATGCTTAGAGTCCCCATTATACAAGAGGATTGTTATTAAGGAACAGCTTGGCTCCTGAGATTTGACTGATGCCCACTTGGTTGGCTTTATGGAAGGTTTTTGAGCCTTTTTGTTTCATTATTTGATGCTTAGGCTGGCTTTACACTGGTACTTTTTTCTTATTTTGTAGCTAGACATTTTATAGAGGGTTGAAAGGCTATTGCGTTTTTTAATCCTTGCCTTTTTAGTTTTGGTCAACAGCCTTGATTGTATTAAGGACAATAGGACCGAGGTGGGATCAAGGGGAAAGGGTAGGAAAGGAAAGGAAAAAGGGAATACAACCAACTGGGGATGAGAAGTGATAGCTTGAAATAAACATAAAGGGCTAAAATACTAGACAAGCAGTTCTTCCCTAGCAGGAGCTTATTTTCAGACTATATTTAAAAGCATCTACTCTTGGGTGGAGGGATATCTTCAGACATTGTCATTCATGTGGATTATGTTTTTAGTTGTCTCCTCTCTTGGGACAGCGTGATGGCTCAGCAGTCAAGACCTTGGGCTTGTCATCTGGAAAGCTGGCAGCCCAGATTCAAAACCTGAGCGCCAAGCGACAGGGTGAGCTCCCGTCTTCACCCCAGCTCCTGCCAACCTGGCAGTTCAAAAACATGCAAATGCAAGTAGATAAATAGGTGCTACTTCAGTGGGAAGGTAACAGCACTCTGTGACATCATGCTGGCCACATGACCGCAGAAATGTCTTTGGACCGTGCTGGCTCAATGGCCTTGAAACGGAGATGAGCATTGCTCCCTATAGTCAGCAACAACTAGCGGAGGGAGGTCTGCAGTCATCTCCACCCTAACTATTCATCTTCCTGCACAATAAAGTGTATTTAACCTAGAAGCATCCAACACATGTTATTTCTAAGATACTCAGAATATTTTTGTTTTTCTTGATATATTAAGAAGGTATAATGTCTGCCTCTGTTAAAAACTGTTTCACCTACAATGCTATATGGAAATATGTTTTTCTGTTGTGAATAAAGCTCACTGGAATGGAATGAGTATTATTCTTAAGTGTGTATAAGAAATGGAACTGAAATGTGAATTCTCAGTATATTACATGGATGTCTTATTTGTAGACTGGCTTGTTCCGAGATAAAGCTTGTGGTGTTAATTGAATATATTTTTTTCAGACAATAAAAAAATAACAGCATGTGGGCAAAAATATCAAAGTAATGGTTTTATTTTGACTTTTGTGGATACAATTTAAATGGCTTTGCTGTATGCAATTTTTTTTCCATAGGAGTTAACATTTGACAAACTTATGGGTAACTTCATAGACGCCAACGGATTCCTTAATTTTTTCATCATAGTCGTTCCAGTCCTGTAGAGTGAAACATGCCATCTTAGGTCTATACAAACTTTAATGGAGATACAGTATTATTGTTTCAAGTTAAACTGTAGGCAGTTGCTTGGAATCTAGCCTGCATTTCAGTAATATCTCCCCACCCCACAATCCATTTATTAGGCACAACCCTCAGAATCAAATGTAATTTGGTTTCAAGTTTTTTCACATATTTAAAAGTAAAAGGGTTTATCGTGTCTTGAAATTTGAAGAGCTCATCCTCAATCTGGATGATTTTTCATTCCAAGAACTGACCCTTCAAAATGTAATTTATAGTTGAAGGAAACTGTCAACAAGATTATTTGACATTACTTTGCTATGGAGAAGACCAAATTTGGAAGATTGCTTGCTATCGAGATAGTCCTCAGCTTACAACTGTTTAACAATGGTTCAAAGTTAAGACAGCCTAAGGAAAAAATAACTTACGAACCACTCTTGAAGTAATGACTGTCCCAACCCGACTGCAGGTGCTTGACAACAAGCTCACATTTATGTGATTGTAATTTGTATCTTCCTAGTCTGCTTCCAACAAGCAGTCAATTGGGGAAGCCAGATTTGCTTAATAACTGCATGAATTACTTAAACGACCATGTGATTTGCTTAACAACCCTGGTAAAAATGGTCATAAAATTGGGTGATTCATTTAATGAGTGTGCCGCTTAGTGCCTGAAATTCCAGTACTAACTGTGGTTTTAAACCAAGGACTACCTGTACTTTGTCCTGACAGCACCCAGGTTCCACCAGAGGTTTATGAAAAAAGGAAAAATATCTATCTTCTAGATATTTTGAACTACAATTCTCATTAGCACATTTGTCATCCAAAACATCTGGAGGATATCAAACTGTCTTATCTCAAGCTAGTGTTTAGAACAGAGGTGTACAATGTTGACAACCTGGTTAAATTTTTAAACTATGACTTCAATATGAAGATCTTGTTCTAACACAATGGAAAGGCATCAGGCTACATGTATCTAATATAAAAGACAGTACAATATATCCTGGGGACCTTTAGAAATTGTCCTGCTTGCCCAGTCTTTCTTAATTTCTCTTAACAAGCTGCAATTCATCAGCATAACTTGGATTGCTGGAAAACTGGACCAGGATATTTTGTGAGGAATAGCTAATGATCCTGAGATTCAATGTTACTTTTAGACTGGTGATACATTCAAATACCAGTAACAGGGAACAGAAGTAGGAGAAAGGTATACCTCTTCCTTCTGCCGGGAGCCATCTAGTTGGCCGCTATGAGAATCAAATGTTGATCTTAGGTGTTGACCTGAGGCTGGTCCAGGAGCACTAGTCTTATATTAGCCTGTTTTAAGATTTGTACACTATATATCAGAGGTCTCCAACCTTCTGGGCACCAGGGACTGGTTCAATGGAGAAAGGTCCATGGGGCTTTGCTTGTTTGTGCGGCCCGGTTGCTGGCATGCTGCGGCCCGATACCGGTCCATGGACTGGGAGTTGGGGACCCCTGCTATATACCAAAAGATTATTTGAACCACAAATATGAAGACTCTACCTTTTCCAGTAAGTTGATGTCATCGAAAGATGTGCCGGACTCAGCACCATTTGCAGCAAACCCTGCCTACAAATAATTAGAAAGCACCTGTTAGGGACACATTAGATCTGAGCTAAAATGCTGTCTTTTATTTGCGTCTATGCAGCTACAACCACACAGAATTCCTGTCTGATTTAATACCAACCCTTCATCCAAACAAGTTCAGCAGGTTCCCTGCTACAGATGAGCAATAAAGCCATAACCAAGAATGCAAAGTTAAGTTACTTAACAGTGCTTTCTCTATCATGTGAATCTAATTGTGTGTGTTTAAGTTTGCATAGAACAAACTTCAAATCACATTAATGTTTAGATGTAAACTTACCAGCTGTTAACTCTTTGACTTATAGCTGTGTGAATTAGCTCCAAAAGAACATGTTAGGAATAATTTGGGTTTAATAGGCAGGCCTTTCAAAAAGACACTCTTGAGAACTTGCCTGTGGTTGAAAATCCACTGGTTCAAGGCCACGACACTCAAATTCCACTATTGTCTTAAAGATCTCATTGTCTTCAGCCTAGAATTCAGCAAAAGAATACTTAGCTTTTTTTAAAAAAACAAAAGAATAAAGACAAGGAATGAGAAACTAAACATGTTTCCCATATTATTATACTCCATAAAGACACAGTATAATATTACAAAGAATATAATCTGTAATGTTTGTAAATCTCTAGAGAAAATGCCAATTAAAGTAGGGAAACATTTAAGCATGAATGACAGAAAAATAATCATTAGTGCCTGTTTAAATTGCTGCCTTTAAGTCAAATAACGGGAAATGGAATTTCTGCTGAATGGGAATATATATATTGAGCTAATAATCTAACCAGCAAAAAAACTATTCTCAAAATGTAGAGCAGATCACAAAGCTCTGTGGCTAACTCCTAAATAAATGTCCATAGGTTTCACTTAGCTTAAATCTTCTTTATTCCTACATTTCTTTCCTTCCACAAAGATTGCACAATTATCTTACTATGCTTAGAAAAAGAAAACAGATGAACCATATGTTTTCTGCATGGAAATAACTGCATGAAGAATCTGTAGACACAGTATTAAAGCTCCATGAACAGCCAGTTTCCATTAATTTTGTGAAAAAGTCATCCTCTAACCAAATTCCAGGATAATATGAATTTAATAACAAGCAATCAATGTTCTCAGTGCAGAGGGCCACTCTTTTATGAAATTTCAGAGCGTACGCTGTATCATTTTGGATTTTAGTTTCTTTTGATCAAGCCCACTAAAAGTTCACCCTTTCATAAAATGCAAATAAAATGAACTTACATTATAAGGCTTAATTGTCTGACTTAAGATATCTGAAAGGAAAAGGAAAAGGAAAAACGTATCATTGGAGCAAAGAAAGGTATAACTCATAGGCTACAAAAATATTTAGATTTGAATGTGCTAAATAGTCAGTCATCTGCTAGACTTCATCTTTAAAAGTTAGTTTTAAATGTTTAAGCAGTATGCCAGGACTAAATGCATCTCTGCAAGTCATAGCATGCGGCCCACCTAATTTAGACTCCAAAACTAAGCAGGGTTGGGACTTTTAGGCCAGGGGTCCCCCAACTCCTGGCTCATTGCTGGGCCGCAGCTTATTCAGAACCGGGCCACAGAAGCGGGAAGCGAGTGAGTGTGCATGTGCAAAACTGCATTTCTTAAAGCGGTGCATGCGCATGCTTGAAACCATCTCCTCTCTCCCCCCTCCCCCACTGCCGCTGGTCCGCTGAGCTGGAAAGGTTGGAGACTGCTGTTTTAGGCCACACTGGGGAGTCAGAACAGCAGAAACAGGCTCAACTCAGGGGTGTCTTTAGGGTTTGCAAAAAAAAATAAAAATCTAATATATGTAGACTAGGTTAATTTCCTTAGAAATACTTCTGCCCTTTGCAATATTCTATACCAATGATGGCGAACCTTTTAGAGACCGAGTGCCCAAAAACTGCCCTATCCCCCCGGCCTACCCCGCTCTGCCCCCACCACAGGGCCACTCACCACAGATCACCCAGGCGGCTTTGCAGCGCCATGGCAACCACGCCCTCCATCCGAACCCCATAGCATCATCTGCACGTGATGGGCACGAGGGCAGAGTCTTGCCCCTGCTGCCCGGCTGCCATGTGCTTCGCTGCGCTGCTCCGTGTGGGCTGCGCCTGGAGGAGACTTTCCTCCAGGCAGGCTGCTGGTGAGGAGGGGGTTGTGGGGGGGAGGCAGGGCTGGGGCAACGGCTCGCGTGCCCACAGAGAGGATTCCAAGTGCCACCTCTGGCACGTGTGCCATAGGTTCACCACCACTGTTCTATACTAACAATAAGGATAACATTGGTCAGTTGTGACATATTTGGGCCAGTTTTACTCTAAGAGGCGTACAGAACATGTATAGATACATTTATATTATATAAATGTTGGACTCAGCAAATACTGTTCTTTCCCCCCATTGCCACCCTCAGCAAGAACCAATTTTCAGGCTAATCCATCTTTCAAAATAGAGTTCTGCAGTCATTTGGCATAGCTTGTTTTATGGAGAAGATTATTTCTTTCTCCACTCTGCAAAAGATTGATAGGCAATGACAGAAGGGAAGAGGGAGCAGGAGAACATATTAATCTAACAGGAGAACATAGAATGTTCTCCTATTAGATTAATATAGTATCATAGCCTGAGTTCTCTATCTAGGGCAGGGGTGTCCGATCTTGGTAACTTTAAGACTTCAACTCCCAGAATTCCTCAGCAAGGTGAATTCAAATTCAATTTCTGGGAGTTGAAGTTCATAAGTCTTAAAGTTGCCAAGGTTGGACATCCGTGATCTAGGACAGAAGTCCACAACCTTTGGGCCACAGCCCACTACCGGGCCGTGGCTTCTTGGCCTCTGGGCCACGTGAGTGGCTGATCAGTGCACACACACACCTATGTGCGCTCACCCCCTGCTCTTATGCTGGCCAAGCCATGAACCTCGCGTTGGCACTAGAAGCCGGTGCTAGGAGAGCCACACACCGATGCTAGCAACTCCATTTGCATGCTCACAGCCCCGTTTGTACGTACACAGTCACATTTTCGTGTTTGTGCATGCACGCATAAAGGTGCCTATCCCTCCCTTTCCCATGGGGCCGCCAATCCAGACAGGTTGACGACCCCTGATCTAGGGGATAGATGTATAAAAAAAAACCCTTACCTATGGAGTTTTCTCGGGAGCATAGCTTGCATTTCTGCACCCTTGTGGCACTTCCCCGGCCTCCTTTGAGAGGCTGGCTGTCCTAAACAGAATTTCAAAACAAAACATTAGTCACCAATCTCAGGAGCTCCAATGGAGAAGAAATAAAGTCCTTTTTCTCAAGATCCAAATCTAATGGAAGTCCTTTTTCTTTTGAATTAAGAATGTTATGCAAACACTAAGCAATCAGCGAATGTTCAGAATTTTGATCTAACAGAGAGAGATAAACATCTTTAGCAAAAGCAGAGATACTATTAAATCTTTTGTTTAAAGAAAAATGCAATTTGCACTGCTAAATAAATTTACAATTCTAATTAAGTGATTGAACTACATATCTGACTGTAAAAATGTATCAGCAATGGAAACATTCATATTAAATGAATGCAGGTAAGGAATCTAGAAATAATGCTTTCCAAATCTAATTTCCTGCAAATATTTTGGATGATAGCTCGTCACTGACATTCACAAGAGCAGGAGCAAGTGACATCATAAGCTTCATGGTGCCACTGCCCAAATAATATGAATTATATACATAAATCATTTGCATCATGACATGCATAGTGCTAACTAGATTTTATATAATTTGTTTTAAAACTTACCATTAATCGTAGATATTGCCATTTTTCTGAAATCTCACCACAGTTTCCACATTTAAGCTGGAAAATAAAAGAAAAACAAATACAAACTAAAATATTGAATGAAATCCAATAACCCAATAATCAATATATATTGCTATGTCATCTTGTGTTGGTTCTGTTTAGTTTTGTTTTATTTGAAGGTTTAATTTATGTGTTGGCCTTTGGCTGTAATAATAAATTGATTGATTGAATAATCAAATCTCTAAATTTACAGTGCCTAGAGGCTGCCTGGACCAGAATGGAGGGCTTTGGGATTTATGGGCCAAATGATCCTAGAGAAATATCATCTTTGCCTCTGAATGGAGTTGCACTCCCCTATTCAGAGATGGTTTGCAATTTGGGGGTATTCCTAGAGCAGGGGTGTCAAACTGCTGGCTGGTTACATCATACGGAGGCCACGCCCACCCCAGCTCCGACAATACGAAGTCACGATACATCGTGACACGTCACGTGACACGGCAAGTTTGGCACCCATGCCCTAGAGCAGGGGTGTCAAACTGCCGGTCCACGGGCCGGTTTCATCATACCGGAAGCGTGCCCACCCCATTGCCGGCAATGGCGAAAAAGCTCCGATACGTTGCGTGATGTCACGTGACGTCGTGAGTTTGACATGTGTGCCCTAGAGTCATAGCTCCTGCTCAATGAACAAGTGGCAGCTGTGGCTAGGAGGACTTTTGCACAATTATGTCTTCTGCACCAACTGCATCCATTCCTGGATTGTAAGGCCCTTCTCAGACACACACACCTTAGTCACCTTCCATTTAAATTCCTGTAGTATCCTTTTACATAGGAATGCCTTTAAAGAACATTCAGCTGGTACAGAATGGTCAATTATTGATATATTCAGATATACCAGGGGGACAAAGTATGGGGAACTACAACGGTTACCAATTGGCTCCTTGGATCCAATTGATTGTGGATGTCACCATTAAAGTCATATTTGTCTCTCACTTTAGTCATTAAGGAACTATGCCCATCTGGCTGGATCAAATAGAGTCAACTCTTTTTGTAGAAGATAATGGCTTATCAGGACCAGAAGGTCCCATTAACGCTGCTAACAGAAATCAACAGACAATATTACAATAGGTCATTGAGATGGGACCGGTATACAAATTTTCACAAACTATACCAGTTGTGGTGAAGCCGAAACCCAATTTGCAACAACACCATAATCTAACAGTTACTACAAGCCAAGGCACCTCGATTCAAAGCCACTGTGTTGCACTCCAAACAATAATATGTAGATGTTGAAGCGGTGGGACTGAGGATGGCTAGAGCTGGGTATGAAGAGAATATTGTTATGCATTTGTCTTTTTAAAAGGCAAGTCACCTATACTCCATGCCACTGGGCTAACTTTGGCTACCTTAATCGTGTTGTATTTTGCGGGTAATTACGCAGCACGGGTGTCAGTGTAATGTACTGAAGTGAATTACTTGGAAATGTTGAAAAAACGGTCATAAGACTCTCAGTTAAGGGCCAGACTTTCTGTCTACATCAGGGGTAGTCAACCTTGGCTCTTTTATGACTCGTGGACTTCAACTCCCAGAATTCCTGAGCCAGCATTCTGGGAGTTGAAGTCCACGAGTCATAAAAGAGCCAAGGTTGACTACCCCTGGTCTACATGCTCATTAACTTGGGTTAAAAGCAGGAACTAATAGCTGAATCCTATTGGCCTTTGCCAAGTGGCTGAGTGTATAAATAAGGGTGGAGCGGCAGTTATCCAGGCATCTGTTTAATTTTTTTTTATTAAAAGTTTTATGAAGATTACAGTATAAACCCCCATACCCACCCCAAAACCCCCCTCCCCCTCCCCCACTTCCCAGAGCTGAACACAGGGTTACAAATATAATAATCAAAATCTATCTAACATTAACCAACTATTAAAGTAACCAAATCCATAATGCGCTTTAACTCCCCTTTAACACAAATCTAAACAAATTAAAATTAAGCGTATTCATCACCTAATTAAACAGTATTGTAAACAATACAATACTAATATTAATAATAATATCATATAATTAAAACTAACAAAAATGCCATTAAAATAAACTATTAATAATAACAATACTCTAGAGCAGGGGTAGGCAACCTTGGCTCTTTTATGATTCGTGGACTTCAACTCCCAGAATTCCTGAGCCAGCATGGCTCAGCTTGGAAACTTCTCCCTTTCCCCTCAGCATGGCTGGCTCAGGAATTCTGGGAGTTGAAGTCCACGAGTCATAAAAGAGCCAAGGTTGCCTACCCCTGCTCTAGAGTTTACTCATAACCCAAATGAAACTTTTTAGTCCCATATTTATTCTGAATATAATCTACCTATCTTCTCCAGACCGAGATATATCTTTCTTGTGATTGATCTTTTAAATAAGCGGAAATTTTAGCCATGTCCGCTAAATTTGACACTTTAAGCGTCCATTCTTCTATAGCAGTGGTTCTCAACCTTTTTAATGCCGCGACCCCCAACCAGTCGTAAGTCGAGGACTAAACCGGTCGTAAGTCGAGGACTAAACCGGTCGTAAGTCGAGGACTACCCAACCGGTCTTAAGTCGAGGACTTTCCCTGCCCAGGAGTGCCGCGCATGTGTGGTTCTGCCCCCTGCCGCCAGCCGAGGCGTAGCTGGCAAGTGGCAGAGACGGAGCAGGCCAACCACCAGCTGGCCCAGCCCAAGGGAGGTAAGGCACCCGCCGGAAAAGGGGAAAAAAATGGCGGACAGCCTTGCTTGGCGACCCCCGTGAAATGGTTGTTCGACCCCAAATGGGGTCGCGACCCATAAGTTGAGAACCGCTGTTCTATAGTAGGCAAAGAGTCCTTCTTACCAAAATTGAGCTACCAATAATCTTGCGGCTGTTATAAGATTCAACATCAAATTCATTTCTTTCTTTTTTTTCAAAGAAATTTTATTATTTTCCATCATAAAAAAACAATCAAAAGCATAATAAACACAATAACAAGTAAAAACCCCCCACCCACCCCTCCCGGACTTCCCAAACCTAATCCCAGGATAATATTCATATATAAGTAAACAAATACTAATATCCCTAACTCCACGAAGTATCTTAATCTACAAAAAGGGATAGAAAGAATAAACAAAATAGAAAAAAATCTAAAAACCTAAGTTATATTCTACCACTCTATGCTTCCTTTGAATATAAACAATCCATCTTCTCCATATTGATAAAAATTGTTCATTTGAATGATTCTTCAGATAAGCCGAAATCTTTGCCATTTCAGCAAGATACGAAACTTTCAATCTCCAGTCTTCCAATGTAGGCAGAATTGGGCTCTTCCAATTTTGGGCTATCAACAAACGGGCAGCAGTTAGACAATAAAGCATCAAATTTGTTTCTTTTACATCTAAATCTTGCACAATACCTAAAAGAAACAACTGTGGAAGAAAAATAATCCTTTTTTTAAAAATTTGCTGTAAGTTCCAAATTCATTTCTTGAACATCCAAAGCGTCTGTTTAATTTTTAATAAAAGGGCTGTGTTGCACCTGCTGCTTGTCAATGCCTCACCGTGCACCAAACACAACAGTCAGCATGTTTGGGAAGGCAGGCAATCCCTTTTCCGAAGACCTACCTTCAGATACCATCGAAAATCCTCCCCCACCGGCCGGAGGTTTGTGATGTTTTCTAAAGTCGCTTTGAACTGCAACCCGATTTTCTGCAAGGAAGAACGTCACCCGACCGGTTAGATGCGCCGGGCAGACAATCCCCGCCAGCCTCAAGGCATGCCCGGGCGAGCTGCCTCTTACCCCCATGGCCCGAAGGGGAACGAAAAGAGATGAGCCTCAGAAGAGCCGGGCCGGGCAAGAGACACACCCGCTTCTCCCTTCCCACGAACGACGACACGTGAAATTCCACAGCTCTCGGAGCGAAATCGGCCGCGGACGCCACTGGGCAGGCGCTCCTCAACTTTCGCGAGACTTGAGTTTGGCCTTATCCGGGGAACGGAGAGGCGAGGCGGAGGGTGCCCTTAAAAGCGGAGGGGGAGTTCTCCCGTTCTAAGAGACTCGGGTGGTCCTCGAGACGGGGCTCGGCTTCTAGAAACCATCATTTATCTCGATCCACACGCATCCTTAAACTGCAGGGGTAGGCAACCTTGGCTCTTTTATGACTCGTGGACTTCAACTCCCAGAATTCCTGAGCCAGCATTGCTGGGCTCAGGAATTCTGGGAGTTGAAGTCCGCGAGTCATAAAAGAGCCAAGGTTGCCTATCCCTGCCTTAAAGGATCCAAGGCAGGCGCCTGCTTGTGGAGACCTGAAGCAATCCACATCTGTTCCTCTTCTCAGCACCGCTTTGTATTCGATTCACTGGATCCGACGGCAAATTGAGACTTCGATTTGATTCGGTTTACTCGCCTTGCAGCCCAAAACAGGTTTCCAGGCGGGCGTTTGGGGGGCTGGTTCTGGCGTTTTGAGATCTTGGTCAGCAAAAATTCGGGCGATCAGATGCTGCCGTCTAATGGCAGTCTGAACTTTTGCAGCGTGGAAGCGGGAACTCTATCGGATCTTCTGGATCCGTGAAGGTTACAGAAATTGAAAGGGGATTCGACAGTTCAAAAGACTCCCATCTTTAAATAGGGAATAGAAGAAATTTAACTCCGAATTCTGGATGTTGAAGCCAAGAAGTCTTCAAAGTTGCCAAGTTTGGAGACCCCTGTTCTGAGTCATTCCTCCCCCACCTTGGACGCTTTTCAAATGTGTAAACTTCCAATTCCTAGAAAGCATGGCTATTGCCTTCTGTGTATGTATGTAATTTATATGCCACCCATCTTGTAGTCACGCAACTGGTTATCTTCCCCTGGCAGTGAGCTACACATACACATCTCCAAATAACAGGTGATCTGTTATTCATATTAGCTATTTAAAGCTCGGGGGAAATAATTTCTGTATTAAAACCCTCCCCGTGGCGACAATAGCAGGAAAATTGGCCTTATGCATACAAAACACTGATCATACACTATTCTAAGTTTAGACAACCAGGATCATTGGATTATTGGAAGGAGGAAAACAAGGTTCAATTACTTCTAAATGCTATATATAAGGATACCAATTCATTTTAAGTTGTAAACAGTAGCAGTGGTCTGTTATTTTACAACCACTTGATTTTATTAAAATATACAAAGTCAAATTTCAACCAAACAGTAGTAGCACACTATGTATGCATATATCATGCAGATGTGGCACACACTGACTTCTGTGGTCTCCATCACCATTCCCCAGTTTTATGTGAAATGTTACACCCTATCATTATCTGATCACTGTTTCAACCTTCATTGCCAAAAACAAAAAAGCCCACCAACCCCTTTCTTTTTTAGGTGCCATATGTAGACAAAACTTGGAAGATAACAATAAATGGGCCAAATTTCTTATTTGATTCACTAGGAAACTTGCTATTTCACAGAATACCTTATTCAAATATAAGATTGTTAAAACAGACAAAAAAGATACTGAAGGAAACTCAAAGTTGGGGTGATGCTAAGTTATTGATGATTTGGTAAGTTGTTCTAATAAACTTATTGAACTAAGCCCAGAAAATAGGATGAATTTGGAACCATGATATCCCAGTAAATTGCTGCAGATTACTGGCCTCTAATAAACGATAGCAACATCACTGCTATTTTATTTTATTTTTAACTACTTAATACAAAATAATTATCTAATTCTTATTCCTAGTAAGAATTTGTTGCATTAAAAATGCAACCCAATAATATCTATCACCATAAGATACTGGTCTATATAGTTGTACCTGTTCCTTAATATATGGAAATTTCTTCCATAATCACTTGTTCTGAATTATGGAAGCTCTGCTTTCTTCCACTGTATTTCAGAAAAAGCTAAAAATCCATTGACATGCACAGTTCCTGAACATACTACTTACTTAACTTCCTTCACAATACAGAATAATCATGTACGTATCTAGATGAATGTGTTGACTCGTTATATAACAACCCCTTCAAATTCATGCAAACATAAGGAACATGAAAACAGCCCATCCCTAAAATATGAATCTTGTTTTACAAAGACTTTCTAAATAAAAAGAAAAAAGTCTTAGTTTTTATTAAATCACTCTGTATAAAAACAGACATACATAAACGTTATACAAGATACGGAATGAAAAGAATCCCACCCCCCAAAACTTTACAAATTTAGATTCACACAATTTAGATTGGTTTAATCTTGAAATGTAATCCAATGAGACTGAAGACTAGACACTTGAGATCTTGGACAAGATAATAAAACACTCTTAGACCTTCGGGATCCCTGGGGAGCAAAATGGAAAAAACACATAATTAAAAGTAAGAAATTGTGACATCAAAATCATTATCCTCATCAGGAAAACAGAATTTCCAGGCTATCAAAATGTCAAACAACTTTTAAAAGCACTATGAAATTGACCTGCCCTCATTTCTCATTTTTAGTAAATAAAAAATAATACTTTAATATAATATTCTACAAATTGATGTGTTAATATGCATTCCTCCAGTTTTTGAGTCAGCAGAAAAATATGCCAGCATCATTTTCACCGCCAACAGTTCCAACTGATGACAGTAATTAGGTTTATGAATGGTCTCACCCATGCAGTCTCACTCTATGGGATAATTTAAAGGAAGTAAATTGTGGGTTCCTCTGCTTTTTCTCTCTCTCCTCCAGTTAGCATTACTATCTACTGGGATACAAAATCACCAATTGTTCTCCTTGAAGTCAGGAGACCAGACTTAAATAGATGGCTAAAGTTGCATGAATCAAAAGTTGCAAGTAAGATGTGAAAGCCAATTGAATGAATCTACTGGTGTTTTGAAAGAAGAGAATATGGGATGAAGTAGGAGAGAGCTTCCATGATACTATAAGAGATCTTCCTCCTGGCCCATCCTACACAAGACTGGTAGACCTTTGGACAAAACTATCCTGGCTGACATGCTGGGGGAATGGAGGAAGGTTGAAGAGTAAAACGAGAGAGCTTGCAGGACTTTTGAGCAAGCTACCTTCTGCTTCATCCCAGATACCTGTGTTCCACTAGCCTATAAGTCAGGCTATTGTGGAAACAGGTTTAATGGGCTTCCTGTCACCTGAGTGAGAAAGGGAAACTGAAGAATTCTTGCCAATTGTGACTGTGTTTACAATCAATTACTTAATTACAAGGGAACAGCAATGCTGGCATCAAATGGCCACAGTGGACAGCACATGGACCCAGGAACTATGCAAAAAACTGTTAAAAAGTATGCAAAATGGCACTACCCTTTATAACAAAAACAATAAAAAGCACAGCCACAGAAAACTTATTGGCTGAAGTAGAAGATTGACAGAAGCATGAAAAAAAAATCCTTACTTATACAGTACTGAATTTGATCTGTAATCCCTCCTTTTCTACATACAGATTTACAGGTCTTTCAAAGTACACTGAACACATGCTTAATAACAGGTCACTATAGCTATATATATATATATATATATATATAGCATAATGCTTGAACAGTACTTAGTGAATCATTGATCAGGCATACAAAAACAGAAGCCTCTATGGAAATATCCCACCCAAAATGGCCATGAAACACAGTTCTCAGACATTGGAAGGGAGAAGGCATGCCCAGAACAACTTCAACTAGCCAAGAAGAACTTGGCAGATGCCAGTCCCTTAGCATTGTAGATCGTTCCTAGACTAAGTCTTATGTGGGGAGAAAATGGAAAAGCTTATTTTAAAATGGGAAAAGCCAAGAACTAATTTATGCTGTTTCCAAAGAGAGTTGGGAATTACCCAAAATCAGCATAAGCGCTTGTCCTCTAAAACTGGGGAGTGGAATATTTTTACGTCATGATTAGTGGGACCCGAAGAGGAGTTCTTATTTTCCACTAAGGTACAGACTATGGCTGCATTGTTCATAAAGGCATTCAAGACAAGGCAGCTAGGATACACCTACATTGCTTCTGCTCCTCCTGTATCCCAAACTGGTGCCATCTTATTGTTGAACTCACAGATTTGATTCCTTTGGTTTTAAATGGCCCTCCCACTGTCTTGGAGAGATCAAGTCATAATACAGCAATTCTTTACAATGCTAATTTAATGAATGCAAAGAGGCAAGGTACATAGTATCATTCACTCTTCAAACAGCACTTACTTGGACTGATTCACGTCAATAAGAGAACCAATTTTTGATGTTGTGAAAGAGATATGTTCATCCCCGATCACAATTTCAAGCTCCTAGGAATAAATAAGAAAACAAAATACATTTAGAGTAGATTACCATTTTTATGAAGCCTGAATTTCTCTTTTCCATGTTCCCTCATAACATCCATAATGATGATTCAAGTCCAAAACAAGATGTTCTACGTACTAGAACAAATATTTATATTCAGCTATTTAAGGGCTGTAGCCACTTCAAAGCAGAAAGAACAATCTTAACCACATATTTATATTGATAGAATTAACAAATTAACATCTACCAGAAACTCAAATATTATGTTGGGTGGGATATGATGCAAATAAGTAAGACTGAGATTTTAGTTTTTACTTTCTTGTATTTGGGAGATTATTGAGGCCTATTTATTTTAGGAATTATTCTGCAGCTTTCGTGTTTTGTCTCGAAATAAACAAATCACCAATGTTTGCTCATGTCAGAGAAGTTTTTGGACTTTCAAAAATAGACTTGGGGGCTGTATTCCTGTTCCCCTGGGATTAGAGTTGTTGGGGACATGGGTCCATTGCTTTGTGGCCTATTATTACATCATCCAGAGACATATCTATATATTACGAGTGACTGATGTTCTTCACCAAATATACTTAGCAAAGGGTACCAGAACATTTTCGGATTGATAGGATAATTTGGGCCCCACGGGTATGGCTCATGTGATAATGATATGATTTTTTAGCTTCCAAAAGGAGATTTTAAAAATAAAATATCCAACTTTACGTCTCTTAGCAAAGGACTCTACATCCACTTCCTAGTTTAATCTTCCTCCAGGTACATTGGTCTTCCAACTCCAAGAATTCTTTAGCCAACATAACCATTGCTGGGAATTCTTGAAGTTGCTCCACATATCTGGATTGGGGAAAACTACTGTAACCCCATCTAGACTGATCTGTTACAGATTGCTGGTTGTGCACAAACATGTAGCTGGTTCCTTTAAAGCATCTGTATGATAAATGGGAAATCTGCTAACCTGTCGGCCAACTCTATCCGGTGGAGGCCACAATGCATCATCTTCTTTTGTAATTTCACTGTCATCAATGATCCTCTTTAGTTCTTCCATCACACTTTTATGTACGTAGGCCTAGAAACAATGTAGAATGTTAGCATGATTCTGCCATATTTTTAAAAAAAGACATAGAAGACTCATTTCTCTTCCATTTATACAAATATCCATCAGAAGAATTAAGAAGGAAAAAAAAAACCCCAATACGAGTACATTTGCACAATACAGTCAATGCTAGTTGCTTTAAACTTGCAGTGTTTCTCAACCTTGACAATTTTAAGGCATGTGGACTTCAACTCCCAGAATTCCACAGCCAGCATTGCTGGTTGTGGAATTCTGGGAGTTGAAGTCCACATGCCTTAAAATTGTCAAGGTTGAGAAACACTGCTTTAAAGGATCCTTTTAGAGGTTTGATTTTCAGCAAGACAACTGAGAGAGGAGTTTTACATAGAAACTTAAAACAAGTAGAAAATGAATCATTAACTCTCAGCATTCTCAAAATCATGGACCAAATTAAAAAATAATTCTGAAATGTCATTATTTTATTTAATTTACTACTCAATGAATTGCAGATATAATGAAACAGTCAACTTACTTCTTTTCTGATCATGACATCATTTTTGTAATTGCTGTTATTTGCATATCTCAGTTTACCTGTTGAAAAAGATTACACTAAACATTACAAGAAAAATGTAAACAAAAGAGCATTTCAATTAATTCCACAAATTAAACAAAGAACAAGGAAGTGATAGCAGTTGCACTCAAGCAAGGGAAAAAAGGATTACTCTTAATTTCTGAGGTCTTTAACTACTGATTATGCTGATTCCTCTGTAATTCTCACCAAGATCAAAATGTATAGGTAGGCTTCACTCCATGCAAGGAAACTGTTCTGGCTGCTATTTAAATGGGCACTTTCCTACTGAGCTAACCAGCTCAGTGATTGATGATGAAGAGTCTGGCTACTTAGTGATTCCATAACAGAATTATTTTTTCAAATTTATATTTTTATTCGATCCTCTCCTTATCTTGGAATCCGTGGCTGTATTTAGAGGCCTGCCTTATTTCCCACAAAACTGTTTCATATTCCACTATCCTTCAAGCAATGAGCAACTAGCTTTAATCCTCACATAAGTAATCCATCTGTTATTCGACCAGATCAGCTATGAGATCCCTTTACCCATCTTATCTCTCCAGGAGCTACAATTACAACCTGTCAAAACCCAATCCGTTCAGATATGAGCAAATTCCGCCGATCACTCTAACACAGTGTTTCTCAACCTTGACAATTTTAAGGCATGTGGACTTCAACTCCCAGAATTCCACAGCCAGCATTGCTGGCTGTGGAATTCTGGGAGTTGAAGTCCACATGCCTTAAAATTGTCAAGGTTGAGAAACACTGCGTCTAACATAGCCCCGGTGCAGTCTCGTATTCGCCTTTGCTTCTTCCCCTCAGCAAACATCAACCAGTCCTTCCTCCCATCCTGTTCCGCTCCTTCACCAGCATAAGCAAGATCTATTCTTCCCTGGGCAAATACTTCCCCATCTTCCCCCCTTGCCTTGTTCCTAGAAGCCACCATGCCTGTTGCTCCGGGACCGACTAACAGTGGTAGTCTCACCGTCAGGACGGAACTCGAACTCGAGAAACTCATGGCCAAACTTGCCCTTGTGCCCAACGTAATAGCGCAAATAGAAATCGCTCGCCATGATCGAAGAGCGCCCACCGGAAACCAGCATGCACCGCGTTCGGCAAGCTTAGCCTACACGGAGGGGCGCCCGAAGAATACGTCATCAACTGGAAGAGTCGCACAAAATGACTATCGCTCGCTCGCTTTCCTCGCATGCGCAGGAAATGGGTTCCATAGACTTATACTGAATAGAGCCGCGCGTCGCAGAAATCAGGGGTTCTCAACCTTGGCAACTTTAAGACTTGTGGACTTCAACTCCCAGCAAAGCTGGCTGAGGAATTCTGGGAGTTGAAGTCCACAAGTCTTAAAGTTGCCAAGGTTGAGAACCCGTTATGCAGAATACTTCCGGTTTAGGAGAACTTCTCTTTCAATCAGAAATTCCATGATTTTTCACTATAGAGTGAACAATGTCGAAAATAGTTATTGCGACTAATGCGGAATCATAGCCAGTATCTGTAATTGGAGAACTAAATACGGATTTAGGTGCCCAATTTCCTTGCTCTTTTTCAAGCCAATTGGTTAAGGATGGATGTAAGAAATCCGTTCTGTAGCCCCATCACCAAAGTGGAGCAAGCAGAGATCCTAAATAAAGGGAATATCTATAGCTCAGGACTGAAATGCGAAATGCTTGATACTTTCTAAGGTTGACTGCTTACAGACGTTTTTACCTTCACTGAGAGGTCCCCTTTGCTCATTTCCAGTATTCAACTTTCTGCAGAAGTCTTGTGCTTTACTACATTCTAAAGCTCATTATAGTTGCAGATTTTTAGGACCCAAATAAGACCATGATTTCCTAGGTGGTTATTTTGGCTGAGTGGGGAAGTCCACTCTGATCATTTTAGTTACTTTAGCTACCAAAAGGAATGATATATGGCAGTGGTGGCGAACCTATGGCATGCGTGCCAGAGGTGGCACTCAGAGCCCTCTCTGTGGGCATGCGCGCCATGCCCCGGAGATGGCAATCGTCCCTCTTCAACTAGCCACCCGCTAACTCGCCAAGGTCCCACGTGGCGGGATGCATCCCAGCACCCATGAGCTCACTGGCCTCTGTGTGCAGGGACCAATGGTGTCAGGCAGCAGCTGCCCCGGCCTCTGCCTCATCTTGCCCTGTGACAATGGCACTGCCGCCCTGCCTCGCCTTGCCTCGCCTCGCTCACTCCGTAGGACGAGCCTCCTGCCCACCGCCCCACCTGCCAGAGACCCCCTGGATATCCCCCAACCCTGCCCGGTCCCCACAGGCGTCCCTCCCCACGAGCAACATCGAGGTGATCACACCCACCTTGGCCACACCCACCCAGTCTGCCATGACCACCGTAGCAACGCCCATCCAGTGAGCCATGCCCACCTGGCACCTGGCGATAAATAAGTGGGTTTTGGGTTGCAGTTTGGGCACTCAGTCTCTAAAAGGTTCGCCATCACTGATATATGGTTTAAGAATGTTAAGAGGTTGCATCTCTTGAATTTACCAGACATCTACAACAGTTTATGTCCTTATGCCAGAACAGATGACAACTTTATATCTAGTGAACTGGCTGATAACAAAGTAAGCTAAGCATCAGGATTAGTCCTGGTTTTTACTTGAATCTTCAGAGAATTCTAAGATGATAAGCATGTGGCATAGTGATGCAATGGTTAGAATGCAGTATTGTAGGCCGGGGTCCCCAACTCCCGGTCCGTGGACCAGTCCTGGGCTGCGGCATGCCAGCAAGTGGTCCGCACAAACAAGCAAAGCCCCATCTGCGGGATGCAGGCAGCACACAAAACCACACCCTCTCCAGTCCACGGAAAAACCTGTCTCCACATAACCGGTGACTTTGGTGCCCAAAAGGTCGGGGACCTCTGTTGTAGGCTGACTCTGTCTACTGCCAGGAATTTGATCCTGACCAACTCATGGTTGACTCAGCCTTCCATCCTTCCAAGGTTGGTAAAATGAGAGCCCAGATTGTTGAGGTCAATATGTTGACTCTGTAAACTGCTTAGAGAGTGCTGTAAAGCACCATGAAGTGATATATAAGTTTAAGTGATTAGAGACAGTCTGGTCTAGTGATTAAAATACCAGACTGTAAACCAGGACACGTAAGTTGTAATCCCTCTTTAGGCATCAAAACGGGCTGGGTAACTTTGGGCCAGTCACTCTCTCTCAGCCCATCATGTTAGTTAGACTTGGGCAGTTTCTGTCAAAACTGATGGATCAATACTCTGATTGTGTCCTAAGGGGAAAAATCAGATTGTGTCCTAAGGGGAAAAAAAGTCACATTGTTCTGTTGCAACAGATGACCGTAGCTCTTGTTCTGTTGAATGATTACTTGTCTCTACAGGAAGTCCTCACTTAACAACCAGTTGCTTAGTGACTGAAATTACAGACCACCCAAAAACTAATTATGATTGTATTCCAGAATTCCAATGGCTGCATACCCTCACAGTCACATAACATTTCAGGTGCTTGGTAACTGGCTCACCTTAATGGCTGGTTGTAGCATTGTGTGATCATTCTGGTTTCCAGCAAAAAAACACCCATAGGAATATATGGATTCACTTAACAGCCATAGCATTCGCTTACTGACCACCCAAAAAGTGATAAATTGAGTGGTCACATGGGTACTTCAACTTATGAAGTTCATAACTTAAAATCCCAGGCTCCATTATGGCTGTAAGTTGAAGACCACCTGTACTGCTGTTGGTAGCTTTCACATCACGTGTAAAATTTAGGTTCTGGGTTCCTTATTAATTAGTATAAAAACAGTTGAATCTGTAGTTTAATCTCTGTGGTAAAATATATCAAGAAGGAGAGCCACATAGCCCAGAGATAGAATGTATTACAATGAAATATTATGAACAAGAAAGAATGCTTTTTAGCAGGAAATAAAATTTCAGTTAGGTTGTTAATTTGGCGAGAATTTGGTTGTTTAGCCAAAACTTCATTTTCTTGTCAACTGCGTGATAGCAATGCTAAGAGAAAAGGCAGCATAAGATCAGAAAGGTATTTGGCAATTAGTTTTATCAAAGTGGGACTTTTAAATATTCTTATAGCCTTAATAAAGATGTTATCAGTTCAATGGCACTTGGCAGATTTTTAAACTTTATTCTTTAAATTGCAAAATCCACTGAGGAAAAAAAGAGACCAATGTATTCTACTTTTCTAGGGTTAGGGGGTTCTTAAGAAAATTTTGACACTGTGTTATGGGCATTTTTACTGAAGGCTGATCTTGGTCTTTTGCAAATATTGCTTTACTTGGTGTGGTTAGTCATAAACTTCCCAAAAGGCAATCTGATGTTCTCTAATAAATCCTAGTTTGTATTTTTTCCCCCAGAGGTGCTAGAAACTCTTTCAACCAAAACATTGGTTTGCAACCATTCCCATTTCTATTTTCTACAACCATCCAGGCCCAAAGGCATTTTTAGAAACATATTTGATGTAAGAAATTCATATTTTGGTTTGCAGCATGCAGCTTCCTGTTTAATGTTTTTAAAGTTAAATTCCTGTTTTAAATGCAGAGGGAGTCAAATCCTCTCAGAAATTCAGAAGGACCCAGATCATCTCCAACTTTTGAGGTCCCATGTAAAAAATAAAAAATGCCATGAAAATAAAACACAATTAAGTTATAAGGGCCAGATAGCCTCCCACCTCATAGCTTTCTTTGCCTGTTTTCTGATTGACCTCAAGCATATAGATCAGGGCTTTTCAACCAGTGGTACGGGTACCACCTGTGGTACATTGGCACCTGGCAAGTGGTACGCAACCATCCTAGAAAAGTAGCAGGGGAGGGGAATGAGCTGAACCGGTGGCAGCACAGCACAAGCCTGAGCGAGAGATGGCTGGAGCTGCAGGGCTGTAAGGGCTCAGCAGAAGCGCCAGGATCAGTGCTTTGGGGCTGTCAGGCTCCAGCTGGAGCTTGGCGCTGATCCTGGCGCTTCTGCTGAGCCCAGAAGAAGCGCCGATCAGCTGGAATGTTGCAGCATCTCCAGGGTCTTGTGATTTACATTCAGATGCTTGGCAACTGATTCATATTTATGACGGTCACAGTGTCCCAGGGTCATGTGAAGTGACCAAAACCTACTGCAACCACACAGCAGATGGGGGGAATAAACCCCCCCCACCCCCGCTGCCAATCCTCAACAGAAATGCTCACAACAATGAAAACCTCGGACAGGAGGAAGAGCGCCGCCGGGTGGGCAGGCAGGTGTCTTGCTCGGCTGTGGCTTGGGGGGCACTTTTTTCAGTGCCATTGTAACTTTGAACAGTCACTAAGCGAACTGTTGTAAATCGAGGACTACCTGTACTTCACTTTTTCCTTTTTTTTCTTTTTTCTTTTGGTCATCAGGTTTTTGACACCTTGCTAGGTGACTGGTGGTACTTGGATATTGCCATATCCTAAAAGTGGTACAATGGGTGAAAAAGTTGAAAAGCCCTGATATAGATTAAATAGAAGCTCAGAAAGATGTAAAGACTGATCAGGAAGAAATTTAGCTGAGAGAAATATATCCATGCCTACTTAACCACTGCAACACACTAATAAAATGCAATCACACAATTTTCATGAGATTAAGACTTTAAGGTAGTCCTTGAATCTATCAGAGGAAGAAGTCTGTGAACAAATATTCACCCTCTTAGTTTTAGGAGCACTGGATAATTGGATGCTTTTCCCCTATAAGGCACCAGAGAACCTCCAAATGACTTGTTAATAACGCTACGTGCAGGCTTGCAATGTTATATTTGAAGTCAACTTATGTTTTCTTCAGCCCCACCATTAAAAATAACACAACACACATCGCAAATAGTCAATAAAAAATTTAATATCTCTATAGAAACAGCATACCATCTTACAAATGTATTCATTTGGTTTTTCAGTATCCCCTATGGATGTAAGTATCAGAAACATTAGAAACAGCAGAGCCCTCCCTTCTCCATCTCCCTAACCCAGTGTTTCTCAATCCTGGCAACTTTAAGATATGTGGACTTCAGCTCCACATACTGGCTAGGGAATTCTAGGATTTGAAGTTCACATATCTTAAAGTTACTAAGGTTGAAAAGCACTGCCCTAGACCATTTGTTCAGAATAAAAACAAACAGAAAAGG